TCAACGCTGCTCCTTCTCACTTCCTGACTGGACTGGCCAAAACAAGTCCAAACTGTTCGTTTACTTCCGAGTAACTCCATCCTTCCGGCCTTGCCACCAAACCAGTACTCCCGGCCGAAGGCGAGAACGCCGGTGTGCCAAATACCTGCAAGGAAGCAGAACCCCTGCTTGCTGGTTCGCGGAAAGGAATATCCGGGTATGGGTTTGTCGTTTTTGAGGCTTCCCTTTTCGCGTTGACCACCACCGTATGTGTATATATATATACACACTGTGTTGTTCTTTTTTGGGGTCCACCAAAAACAATGCACAAAGATGGTGAGAAAATCACGCCTGCAACCCAAGCAAGACAAGATATGATTCTGAGGGCGATCTCGAGAATCTCCAGGTTTTGGGGAAGCACCAGACACCTTCATGTATGGATGCGTGTCCCTTTCAGAAACTCCGGTTTCCCTTTAAGCCAACCCCCAAGCAGAACAGTTCAATTACCATACCAAAACATGGCAACCCAAACAGTTTCGGCAACCTGGTTGATTGTGATATGCGGCCCATGTCGGCGCGCATCCTCAAAAAACTGTACTCCACCGTGGCTCATCCCCATCCCGACAAGTCAAGGCGAGAAGCTAAGTTACATGCCCGGCGGGGGGAAGCCGTCGCGGGCCTTTGCCGTCCAACCACTCCAATCGAGCAGAAGAGGTTGTTCCTGCTTTTTCGCAGAACGCCCCAAGACGAAAGAATCTCAGTTAAACATCAAATAAGCAAAAAACATCTTGCCATTTCACCAAAACAACCCCCTTCATACACATAACCACAACCATCAACACCCTCCCAACAAAAAGATTCCAGCTAAAGCATGATGAGGCCACATGTCCTGGCCAACTATCAGGCTGGCGGCGATGCCAGTGCTGAGTGTGTGTAGCGACCGAGAACGTAAAGGACGATCCATTTTTTGCAAACAATAATAACACACATCATCTTTACAGCGCCTCCAAAAACCAAGACCACACCATGGATTCTCTTCTAAAACTCACAACGAGTTTTCAGCAGGCCAAGGTGGTATCAGCCCCCAAACCGCCTGGACTCTCCGGAAACCTCCCAAGCTGCCATGAACCACCCCAAAGCTCTGGGCAAAGACCCCATGGCTTCTAGCCGTTGGGGAAATATTAGGTTTTTCTGTTGGTTCACGGAACTATCTCTGGAATTTGTCCAGACTCAAGAATTGTTCCGAACAATCCAGGGTGGTTTGGTGTTTCCGGGTGAACCACCCATTTGCCCTCTAGAACCAGAAGCCGGCGCAGATCCAAATCCAAGCTACCAATGCAAACCGCCAAAGTCGGGTTTGGAGTAACCTCCAATCGGAAGGGAATGTGAATTGGAATGAACCGTTTCGGGATCCCCAAATAAAGGACGCCACCGGTTGGTGCTGGCTTTTCGTCAGTCAATACACCACTCTCCTTCCCTGCATCTCTCGCAGCAAGTCGTGGAAAAATCCGACCATGTCAGCGTTTCCTCAGACAAACAGAAAGGGGTGGATTGGTGGACTGACCATGGCAATTTTGGAGCAGACCGGCGGTCGCCCCACGTGTTTGTAGCTGACAAACAGACGCTCGGTTGCTGTTGACCCCCCTGCCAAAAAATATATTTTTCGGGGTGTAGTGGAAAACCCCAAATGATTCCCCAAAAAGTTCAAGTCTAAAGATCCGTTACCCAATAGCAGCCAAGGCACCCCCCCCAACAACTGCTTTTTCCCTCCAAAATCTCAAGTCCAACAAGCAGTGGTTGGGGGCGCTGGTGTGTTCCTAGAAACTTCTTTCCCGAGCTCTTTTCTTGTGGATTCCCCCCTTGAACACAAAGCCACAACTCACTTCCTGCGTGGATTGGCCAAAAATACCAACCCAAGATTCTATGAATCACTAAAGTTGGATTTTGTACATCACAACAAATACCAACCACAAATTGGGTTACGAATCACTAAAGATGGTCCAGACCCCAATTCTTGGTTGACGTTGAAAGGGGAGCAACAATTCTCAAATGTTAGCAGTTCAGTGGATGGATGTCAACCACTAAGCCACAATAAACAAAAATACGTAAAGACTGTTTCCCAACAAGAACCTTGAGAATCAACCCGCCAATCTCCTGAGAAGCTGAACCAGGTTGTGGGTCTACAACAAGACACACCCATTTGGTTGAACCCCCCACGATCAAAGTTGTGTTGACGCAATTAAAAAGGAACATGGGGTTCACTCAAAAAGCGACACACCCAACAGGGGCAATATTTTTGATGGTCCAGACCCCAAGTTGTGACTGGAGTCCAGACCCGGGTGGACGAGAGGCGACGGGAGGAGACCTGAGGCCAATCGGAGCAGACCGCTCGCTCTCCGCGCCTTCCAGGCCCTGGCCTTCCTGGCCCACCAGCTTCCCGGGCACCCACTTGGCGTAGCCCCGCGACACGTCGTACCTGCACACCGCCCCCTTTCGTTGTTTTCCCCCCCAAAAAATAGGTGTTCATGTTTATTAGTATTATGTTTAGTATTAGTATTCTTATTATTATTATTATTATTAGTATTAGTGTTATTATTATTATTATTAGTGTTATTATTTTTAGTATTATTGTCATTATTATTATTATTATTAGTATTATTATTATTATTATTATTATTATTATTATTATTATTATTATTATTATTATTATTATTATTATTATTATTGTTATTAGTATTATTATTATTATTATTATTATTATTATTACTATTATTATTATTATTATTATGTTATACACGTTTTTTAATTATATGTATATTCACATAAATACATAATACATGTGCACAAATATATATGTATACACATGTCTGTGTGTATCCATGTCTGCGTGTAGATATAGAAGTATTGTTTCATGCACACCAGTGTTAATATATGTGTGTGTGTCCATATACACTCACGTGTATACTGCATCTAGCTATGCATATGTAAACATGTATACAGTTTATTTGTGTGAGTAATTTTCGCTATCATTATGCATATTATATGTGTATTCATACAAGTCTCTCCAAAATGCTGTGTTGGACACAGGAAGTATACTGAGCGAGCGAGCTGACACTATGATTCTGAATGTCTGCAGAAACCGAAGACGGGTTGGAGACCGTTTGTTCTTCTTAGTCTTGTTTTTTTTGGGGGGGGCGAAGGCAAATGTGAGGGGCAGGGGGAAGGATACTTTGAGACATACCCATTTGTGCTATGCTCTCCTGGAAACTAACAGGTTGAGTTCCTCCAGAGGGTGCCTGGTCCGAAAGATAGGGACGCTTCCCCGTAGGAAAGAAGGGTACTCTTTCTTTTGCAGGTGACAGTAAGGCGAACTTCCCGATGTCGCAGGATCACCGTCGCCTGCTGAGTGAGCAATGCCTGGTCGGCCACCAAGTTGCCAACTCGTCTGCGGATGCAGCCCCATGCGAACCCAGCGCATGCTGCGTGCTGGGCGCGACGCCCCATCTGAGAAGCAGGCCACCAAATCGCCCAGTCGTGTCAGCCGTCTCACCTTCAGCGCCCAGGTGGGAGTTCATGCAACGAGTCACATTGCAGCAATTCCAAACGATGGTTTAGGAGAAAGAACAAAAAAACAGCTACTCGGGCCTAAAGAAGTTGAATGGGTGATGGGCACGCCAAAACACTTTGAGAGGTTGTTTTAACTTAGCCCGTCTTCGGCTCTGTCCACATGTTGCCGACTTGCGTTTTCAGACCCTGGTCCGGTTTCCGAAAATTGCGCGATAAATTATATTTCCCCCGTTAAATGCCACCCAGGAGAGGCCGATGGCCACTGCCGCCTAAGGTAAACAGAGAGATACAGATCGTGTAGACTGGATTAGGTTACACTATAGATAGATTAGATTAGATTAGATTTAGATTTAGATTGGATTTAAAAGGGATGCCTTTTTCTGTCGGTTTTTCAATAGCTGGGCTGTACTCAGATCTGCCAAGAGCTCGACTTGTGGGCAAAACTTTCGGAAAGAACCCAACCACTAAAACCAAAAAGCCTTCAACCACCTAAACCTAACCACCAAGTCTAATTAACAAAACATAGTGGTATCACTCTTTCCCCCTTGGAACCGCTCCAATCCGTTTGGGATTGAAACCATTGGTTGAACCCCCCTGGGCGGTGTCCACCAGGCGCACCAGTTGAGCTGCACCGTGGAACGGCGGTAGCCTAGGCCTCAGCAGCGGTCGATTGGGTGCCCCCCAAGAAAACCAGCATTTTGGTGCGTCCCCTCAAAAAAAATCGGTGGGTCCAACAAACAAAAGCCACATTAGTGGTTAGAACATTTTATTTTCCTGGGCTTTGAGCAAGTGACTCATGTGGTGATTGATTTCTGCTTTCTGCTAAAAGGGTGCCCGTTTTTTGGAGACACATCGGCGCGGTGACTCTTGTTGGGCCATTTGGTGCATCTCCAACAAAAGTGATCACCAAAAGCTCAGAGACGCTCGATTCGCTTTGGAGAAGCGAGAAGGTAAGTGACCCTTGGGGAGGACATTCCAACACCAGGAATTGTGGCCATCCGTATTCTGGATCGCCACAGGTCCTTGGGAATTGGGGACTTTGCATGTGACTTGGCTTTGCTGGATGCTTCCCCCTGAACAAAAGTTTGCTTTTGTTGCTCCCGCATCGCTACCGTTGGCAGGGATACTGGTCTAAGACGCGCATCTAGCCAAAGATAAAGAGGAACAAAGGAAAGGCCACCCCAAGCGCTTGCGAGTGATTCTCAAATCTCAGCCAAGTGATTCTTACTGGCTCTTAGCAAATGAGAAATGGAACGACCCTTGTAAACCATCCAACTGGTGGCTTCCTGTAAGATGATCCGGGTTCATTCCCTCATTCCCTACCTACCGCACCAGCCAGGTGATGCTCAACTTCGGGTGTAGGAAGCTCGCGTCTCCATCCCCATCCGGATCTGCTTCCGCCACCCAGCCTTTGAAAGGGTGTCATCATGGACCGTTTTCGTAGAGCCCCAGGTCCCCGGAAAAGGTTCTTAGAACATGTTTTTTGTTGGATCTGCGGTTTCTTCACTGAGGGCTGAGAGGGCTCCGATTTCATGGAGGTACACATGCCTTGTGCTACGGATTCCCACTCAGAACTTCCACAATGACGCAATGCATTCAGTTACCATACATACGAACCAGGGTCTCATGCGTAGTTTCGCACACCTCATCATGGATGATCTAGCCCCTTTTTTCCAAGATTGAAGGGATCCCCCATATGAATTAACCAAACAGGTCCTGGTTCATGCTTCATGGTGCGGTGCGAATGCTCTCATCCGATGGCGATCAGTACTTACCTACCCCTTGGATTTCAAGGGTATGAAAACCGCATAATGTTGACCCAGGATTAATAAACCCATGCCATTGTTAGGGGGGTGTTCCCTCCAAAAGTGGTCCACTAAAAGGGGACCCCCCCGATCAAAATCAACCAGGGGTTTATTAACCGGGGTTAACATTAGCAACCGAACACCAAGAAATTCCCACATAGCCAAACAAAGGCTTGAGCCCAAGTTAGGCACGGCCCAAATTTAAAGGAATCGTGCCGAGCCGACGACTGATGGTGTGTGCAGTCTGTCGATTCAACGGCCCTGGCAATAAGCCACGAAGTCATGGTAGCTGAGCTCCTGGCAGGTTGAGAACACATCAGGGGTTGATCTTTCTTTTCCGTATTCTTTTCAGCCATGGTTCTTTTCAAAAGCCAGCCATTTCCCCAGGGTTTTTGGTGGTTTTCTAGAAAGAAGGATCCCTGAAAAGAATGGGGAAGCTACCAGTAGAACATCGGTGAAGTCAGGTGGTTTGGAGGTTACTCGCCAGATTGGCATGGGGCTCATATTAGAGATTATCACAGTTTCAGCAACATTGCGGATAAACAAACTCCACTTCGCACCGCTTTCTGTTAGTGGTTGATCGATCAGTCAAATCGGGTTTCATCTAGTCCAACTGGTGCCGATTGGTTGTCCACGGTTGATTCATGCTCTCACTCACTTCCTGAGATACCCCAAAGGTACAAAGTCCGAAACGAAGCTCAGAGAGCGAGCACAAGAAATTCTTGAGAGCGTCCAGAACAAATGCTATGACAAACAATGACAAACCATGACGTCAGCTCCCAGGGAAGGCGGAGTGGTCCTTCGTTTGACCCAAATCTGAAATACATCCATACTTTCAGATCCTGGTCATTGAATCTACCCAAGGTTTCGGAGAAGGCTTAGTGAATTTGAGGACACTAAAGCCTCATAGCCAAATGGAGACTACCACGGGAGCTTGACCCACAGCCATTTGGTAGGTGGCTGATCCAGCCTTCATAGGCTGCTATCCATCCCAACTGGTGCCAGGCCTGGCTATATTCAAACCACATCAGCCATCCCACAAAATGCCTCGGTGCCGGACCTCTCGAATACCTTTCGCTATGCTTTTGTCAGGGCACCACCTCAAAAGTGGTTGGTGGACATGAATCTCCACCTTGGTTGACCTTGCAAGAAAAGCCACAAATCTTCCAATTCTAGCAGTTCAGTGATTGGATTTCAACCACGAAAAACCACAATAAGCAAAAATGTAAAAGCTGTTTCCCAACAACAACCATGTTAATCATGTCCAACAACAAGTCCCCCACACCCATGTCTGGCTCACCGCAACATGTTTCTGTGCAGCGGCTCCTCCGTCTTGCCTGGGTTCTGCGCAGCCAGCTGAACCTGACGCGAAGACTGCCACCAATACGTGTGCACATGCTCGGATGGAAAAAAAAACAAGCAAACCAGGCGGAAACCATGTAAAACCAGGGGAAACCAGGGGAACACCATGGGGAAACCAGGCAAAACCAGGAGAAACCATATTAGACAACCAGGGGGAACCATGTATAGCCTAGAGGTGGCCATACCTGATTTCCTGCACTGGGAAACACTAAGAAAGCCTACCAACAAAAGTGAACATGAGACAACACACACTAAAAATACAAAGAAATCATTTGCAGAAGAAGCTGACGAGCAAGGTACACTACTTTGTCGGGTGGGGGGGTTGAAGCTACCTTTAGTCGAGCTCTCAATGAATCATCTCTGGGAAGGCAACACAGAACGTCCAAATGCCTAGACTTGCCCAAAGAGTTGAGTCATAGCTTCCGTTTGCTTGCTTGCGCTGGAAAACATGATGTTTTGTTCCTTTCAGAAGTGATATAGATTCCCTTGAACACCAACATGTTTTGTTGTTTTTCGTTATTTTTGCATCTTAAGCAAATGGAAGGTAGCCATTTCCAAGACCGTCCGGGAATCGAGAGACCGGGAGTCCTAGCGCATCTGTGCGACGGATGGAAGTGAGCGAAACCTCGTTTGCAGTTTTCATCTCTGCGCCTGCTCTCTGTCTCACTTGCCCAAAGGACCCAGAAATAAAAGGTTACCCTTTTGGGGCCTTTACTAAAAATGGACCAAAAAGGGAACACCAAAGGGTCAAAAGGTCGATTCGCTTTGGGCAGGTGAGCTGTTGCAGTTAATCCCCCCTTCTAAGTTGCAGAGATGTTAATTGCCATGCGCAGCACAACGTGGGTGTGCTGTTTGAAGGTGCCCTTGTTTAGGTCGGCTTCAAGGGACACCAAAAGGCACATCTACTATCTGATCTCTTACGGCCCCGTAGTTTGACACCCAGGTGCTGAAACAGCTGCCACCTGCAAAAGTAGTCCGAAAAGATTTCGCTTCAGCCTGGAAGCTGAGAATTGAACGCATGTCCGCCTCTGAACATCGACGCCTTCCAGGCTTTTGCTCGACTGCTTGGTACAGCCTTCCTACTGCAAATATCGACATTCAGAGTGTTCCGATTTGATTTTATGTGATTGTGCACAACTAGGTCCTCCAGTAGAGAGGTTAGAGTAAGGGTACGCACTTGTTTCTTGTTTGTCTAGTTTAGTATGGGAACCGAATCTCCCAACCAAACAAGGGGTGAGCAAGAGTTCGTTGAATGGCACCAATTGCTGGACCAATTCTCGGTTGCTTTCTGCTCCCCTGCTAAAAGTTTAACTTGTAGTGGTTTAGTGGAAAACCCATTAGTTGGCACAAAGTTAAAGTCCTAACAGCCAAGCAAAATGCACCAAAGAATTGATTTGATTCCATGTGATTCACCGGTCAAAACTTCGCTGGTGCCAAGCTTGCGAAGGGCTCCTAAGTCTCCCGCAGGGATGCTCGTTTCAGATTTTTGGGAACCCAAAATGAGCGGATTTCTGTTGGGGTAGGCTATACCTGGAGTCTCCCAAATGGGACCCCAGAGAGCATGCTTGGTCATTATCCCCAAATAAAGGGGTCATGGCCCCATTTTTAAAAAGTCAGAAGGAGACTCCAGGGAGTGTTTTCTTTTTACCCTGTCTCTTGGTTGCTTGCTGTTGATCCCTCTGCAACAAGTGAATCACTTTTTGTGGGTTTGGTGGAAAACCCCAAATGCTTCCCCAAAAAGTTAAAGTCTACAGATCCAGCCCAATAGCAGTCAAGCTTCTCTTGTTGTTTCGAGAGAGGCTCTCGGTAAAGTCAGCCACCGGACATTTCCCTGAGTCAACGCCCCAAAATTATTATTGGGCGCCAACCACCCAATCTAACACCGACAGTTCCGTCAGAATACACCAACATCGGGGTGCGAGCTGTTTTCCTGTAGAAATCCACTAGAGGCCTGGAAATCAGCGGATCTGAAATTCGGGTTGCTTCCTTTTCGTTGCCCTTGAAACACCAGTAGCGGTCGCCATTTATTTGGACACCGTTTATGCTTTTCGCGGGGTGGGGTGCATGGCCTGCCAAGAAAAGGAACCCGCCCTTTTGTTTGGAACCAACACTAGGTCCTCCAGTAGAGAGGTTAGAATAAGGGTACCAACTTTAGTCTATTTTACTAGGGGAACCCTCCCCCAAAAAAGGGTGAGAAAGCGCACTACCGGGGACCTAGAAAAGGTGACTTTTAACACATGTTGGCCGACCGATCTGCTCCGCAGCTCGCACAAATCATTCACAGCCGCTTGATATCTGTCTGATTCAACAGATGTTGAAACCATCCCTCACCCTTCGAGTGGATTGGCCCAAAACAGTCTGAACTCTTCGAGGCCACTCAAAAAAAACCAGACCCAACAAGTAGAACGGGCATGGACTCAAGAAGTAAGATCCTAAACAGGCTCCCCCCCGGAGCCCCTCCGCCGCTCGTTGCGCGGTATTTTCGTGGCGCTCCTGCGTCACCAGCTCCTGGCACTTCAGGAAGTTCGCCTGCGAGCGGATCGTCTCGAACTGGTTTCCGAGCGCTTCTGAAAAAAGATGTTGTCCCCTCCATGCAAACATGTGGACACTAGACCTGGTTGCAAAGAGACACCTGAAAACCAATTGGGACACCAGGCGGACCTACGGAAAAACCGGAAATTCCTTTCCCAAAACTATTTACCAACGATATCTAGTTCGTGAACTCAAGGGAAAAACTATAGCGACGGGGACAGGGTTGCTCACAACGGGTGCCGATTGCGGCGGACCCCCTGAGACATGGGCGATGTTTTTCTGAAGATTTCTTAGCATCCGAAAGTTGTGGGTGTTCAAACCTCAACTTCCATTTGGTTAGGCCCCCTGGAAAAATATATACATTTCCAGTAGGGCTAGATTCCCTCTAAAAACCAATAGGGGAAAACAAAGATATTCATTCCAGCAAATGGAAGTCAAGGTTCCCAGGTCAAACCCCGAAATGAATCAGAGGAGTCGCAGGGTGCTGACACCTGAAGGAGTTGGTGGTAGTCCCATAGCCGCGTGCTTTCTCACCCCTGACGCGTGGAAGATGGAGGACCCCAACCCAAAAACCAAGGAACAAGGGTGCCCGAAGAACTCAACAGGTAAGCGGTACGTAAACAAAAATAAAAAATAAATCAACCACCCCATGTTACTAGGAAACCACCCTCTCTGCGGCAAGTACCTGGTAATTGCCATTGAAGAGCTTCCTCGGAGCTGTCTGTGGCTTTCACGAAGAGGGCAGGTGGCTTCTCCCAAGAAGACCAAAACAAGAGTGAGGCCTGGTAAAGGACACCTGGCCCTTTGAACACATCAAAAGGACATCGTGAGCTTGAAAGGCCCTCGAGATTGGGGCCATTGGCCCCCGTACACTCACTTCCGTTCGAGTGGATTGGCAAAAAAATCCAAGCTTGTTGTCCAGACCCAAAAAGTATAAAGTCCAGGAACTCAGGAAGCGGCGGTCTATTTGTACACACCTGTGTTGACGTTGGAAGGGAAGCAACAATTCTCGAATGTTAGCAGTTAAGTGGTCGGATTTCAACCACTCAACCACAAGAAACAAAATGGCAAAAACTGTTTCCCAACAACCATGACAAGCCCAGGTGGGTATCCCAACAGCCCCCTAAACCCTGATACCCTCCCAGCAGCCCCTACCCTCAATGAAAGCTGGCTGAATGGGCAGAGACCCCATAGCCACGGGGGGGCAGCCACGGGCGCGAACCGGCGCCTTGATGTCTGGAAGCCGCAGGTGGCCAGTGCCTCGCATCGTTCAGGGCACTGATTGGCTCCGGGGTTATGCCCCATGAAAACTAGGTCCTCCAGATTTGAGAGGTGAGAAGACGTTGGTACCCCTTTTGTCTTTTTGTCTATTTTAGTAGGGAAACCCTTCCCCCAACAAACATAAAAGGGCACTACTGGAGCACCTAGAAAAGAATGGCCCAAGGGGCACCAATTTGGATGACAGTTGGTGAAATATGAAACCCAATTGCTTTGATGATGGAAACTGAATGTGGTTTTCTCTTCTTGGTTGCTTTTGATCATTTGGGTTTGGAACCACGTGTAGGTCGTTTTGGTTCATTTGTGTTTCCCATGTTAAAGCACAGAAAAGGCACCCTCAAACGAGACACCCCCATTTATTTCTCCCCTTCCACTTGACTGCCTGGAAGGAAAACTAACCTGCCGCTCGTTGCACATCGTCAACCCCTATGATCTCGCCCGAGCTCATGCTGCTGCATTTCCTGACCCGGATCTTGAGGTCCTTTATGCGCATTGCAGCTGCACAGACTTTCAAGCAGTGTAGCCGCCGGTTCTCGATCGAGTAGACGTCGGGATCCGTGTTGTCCAGTGAACAAACATTCTGATCTCAGCGCTGAAGCTCCTTGTTCATCTTCCAGGCGCGGTAGATCTGTGATGACGCTTCACAAGATAACTCAAATTTGGATGAAAAAATCCCCAAGTAAAGGACCTACAGGATGGTGAGCGGTTAGCCGCGGTTAGGCGCCTGGCTGACAATTCAGGGGAGCAAAAGGTGGGTTAAAATGTCGGTTGCCGAACACCTAAGTAGCGGTTCCCTATATTGCCACTTTAAACTCCAAGAAGAAACTCAGCTAAACTCAGCCTATTGCTCAACCCAGCTTCCGCAAATATTCAGCTGATGGGTTTCCCGTTGACCTCTAGAAGGAGCACAGGTTCCATTCCACAGCAACCCACACACTTACCAAAGGACCCAGAAACCAAAGGAAGATCTTTTGGGACCAATGGACTAAAAACAAACCATGGAAAACTCAAAAGGTTCAATTCGGTTTAGATGAGTAGGGGTTGATCAAATGACCATGGGAAACTTTTGCCAGGTGGTGAAAGTCATCTCTTTTGGTGGTTTTCCTCATGGTCATCAACTTTCAACCACCAAAAGGCGGCCGTGAAGGTAGCTGAAACACAAAATCACACAAAATCCGATCTGCCAGGCACTCGCCTCGCAGATCCACAGCCTCGAAGGTATCCACCACCTGGACGGAAATTGACTCCGAGACACTCAATGGTCCACACATGTAGCAAGAGTAGCAAAATAATTGTGTCCAACTATTAGCCCTACCAGTACGGCTACCACTACTACCACCACTACTACCATTACTACCACTACTACTACTACGACTGCTGCTGCTGCTACTACTACTACTGCTACTACTAGTACTAGCACAACTGGCACTAGCACCAGTAGTAGTAGTCGTAGCAGTAGTAGCTGCTACTACTACACAACTACTACTGCTACTATCGCTAGAACTACTACCTGTACTAGTAGTAGTAGTAGTACTACTACTACTACTACTACTACCTACTACTACTACTACTAATACTACTACTAGTACTACTACTAGTAATTAAAGATCCTTTACTTAGCGGTGCCTTATTTCAGGTTTTGGACATGTTGTAAACTTTGCAGATGTATGGTAGGCCCCGCAAAAGGTAGATGTTTCATATTTTCTTCATTTTTTTTTGGGGGGAGGGGCCATGTATGTATATATTTATAAGCAAAAACATATACACAATGGGAGTTTCCCTAATCAACTACCCACGCACTGTTTTTGGTTTGGGTGACCATAAGAAACAAACCTTGAAGCAACAATGCCTCGCCAGGCCTTCTAACTCCGCATGAAAAAACACACACCACACACACACACACACACACGCGTGCAATGTCGATATCGCTTTCGTTTTGCGGGGGCTGGGATCATTTTGAGGGGTATCGAAGTCAGGAGCGACAGTTGTTTCACTTTAACCTACCACTTAGGTGATTTCGACAGGGGAAGTTCGAACTACTTCTTGGAAAAAACCGCTCCAGTGATCTGACCGCAGTCCCAAGGGCCTGGGCAAATGAGGCAATTTACCAGGTTCAATTGGGAGCATACTGCCATAAGCCTGTGCAACCCGTAAAGGATATATCATCCCCTGGTATGAACCCCAAGTTTCTGGGTTAATTCACCTCTAGCATGGCTGAAATATGGTTACTGCAGAAGAGCAATGTCATTCGGCGGAGGGCCAGCAGTGGCCAGGAAGTGGTTCAAGAGGTCCCGCTTCACGCAGAACACATCCAGCAAGCATTTCTGGGCCATGCTGGTCCTGCCATAGAAGGCTGTGCCGCGCAGGTCTTGGTGGCTGCACAGGCCCACTTTCAAGAAGTTCTCGACACTGCTGAGAGTCCAGCGGCATAGCTCAATGTTGCCCTTTGTCAGGCGGGCCAGCCGATCATATGCTGCCATGACGTTGAAAGGGGTGACTTTTCCCAGCATGTTCTCGATTGACTCCAACGTCTTGCCTTACGTTCCCAGCAGCCCCCCTTAAACGGGTCCAGAGTGGGTTTGGGGGCATATATGTACCAGTCCCTGGGCCACGTACCCCCCCCCCCCCAATGGTATGGTCCCCCCACTCCCCCGCATCATCCGCATCTTGGGGATGATGCTGGCAATGCTGGGGATGCTGTCCAGTACCGTGCGAGCCCTGCAGCTTCGGTCCCCCCGCACCTCTCGCAACATCCTATCCTAAACCAAACCACCCTGCAACCCCTCCTTAACCCCAACCCTAAGCCCAAAACAACCCAAACCCCAAACCCACCCGAAACCCCGCAAACCAACCCGAACCAACCCTGAACCAACCCTAAACCATCCCACCAAGCCTAAACCAACTCCGAACCACACCCCAACCACCCAACCACCCCACCACCCCACCACCCCACCACCCCACCACCCCACCACCCCACCACCCCACCACCCCACCACCCCACCACCCCACCACCCCACCACCCCACCACCCCACCACCCCACCACCCCACCCCCCACAGGGGCGGGGGGGGGTTGGGGGGGGGAGGGGGGGGGGTGGTCCACGGCCTGGAACATATATGGACCTATACTCTTCGGCTTTGATGTAACGCCAATCAATGGGCTTCCATCTCAATCCATTGGCCATTGGCCCATGCCCACATTTTGAAGTTGTTTCAACGGGACCCCCAAAATGATGGTGTTCCTTTGGGTTTCCTTTCAAACACCAGAAAGGGTATCCTCAAAAAAGACGTAGACATTTAGCTTTGTCTTTGGGTTGGCAAATTTCTAGGTCTCGCACCATCCCCACATAAGAGGAGGACCTGATTCCCACCTTGTCCCCTCAGGCCATTCAAGCTTTGGCCCAGGCTCAACTGTGCTTACCCTTTCAGCAAGGAGAAGCAGCAGAGTGCTAGTAGCAGTGCTAGTAGTGCTAGCGGTAGCCGCAGTAGTAGTAGCAGTAGTACTAGTCCTGGTAGTACTACCATTGTGTGCTCATTTTACCCCCGAATCGGCGGGCTCGCCAAACAATTATGCATATAAAGATACATATGCCCGCTGGCCATGAGGAAAAAAAGGGCATCCTTCGATCTTTGGTTGAGTTTAAAGGGGAACCCTTTCCAAAAAAACATCAGAAAAAGGGCGCCACTGTGGCAACTGGGTATGACCCTACAAATTTGCCGCGGGGAGGGTCCGGACAGCTTAAAACAGAAAAAAATAGGGGGTACTTTTTTTTAATTAAACAATAGGGGGTACATCCTTTTTAGGGGGTACACGTGTTTTTTCCCCAAAGGAAAAAACATATAAAAACAAGCTCTGCCCTCCAAAGTCGATCGATCTGCCTGGCTGAGGAACTGTGGGTTGCTCGCCTGGCCGAGTTAAATAGGTTCGGGAAACCACAGCCAAAGGAACCACAGCCCAAAGGAACCACAGCCCAAATGTTTACCCATAAACCACGATCGTTTTTCTTGGTTTGGACCATAGTTAACATCAAAACCACTCAAATACCAGAGAAATGTGTTTTTCTTGGTTTGGACCATGAACATCAAAACCCTGAGTGCGGTTCCTTCTCTTGAAAATAATTACCCCCTTTTGGGGGTTGAAAGGGAAACCCAAAGAAAACCCCAGCATTTCTTCGGGGTCCCGACAAAACTCACAGCCTAAACCAATTAGAACAGAACCTAACAACCTCAAACGTAAGAACCTAAAGCCATGCCGACAGTGTAGTTCCGATGCCCACGAGCAATATCAATCCATGTCTCCTCAACCAACAAATCCCTTGCTATTCGTGGGTTATCTCTGTTCTTCGCCCGATCCTTTAATCGAAATTGCATATGAGGAATCGACCCGGGTGCCATTGTTGTTAGGGTCAATTCCTCCCAAACATGTTGTGATCCGTTTGGTTGTCCTTTCAAACCAAGCAAGAGGGGGTTCCCCCAAAGAAAGACACTCTCTTTCATGACATGTTGAAGGACCCTGGGCAGAACAAAAGCCAGTCGCAGTCTCTCTTGACATTGGCCAAACTAGACATGGCCATGATTTTTAATAGGGAACCACCTCAAAAGTGATTGGTGGACATAAATCCCCACCTAAATGATGTCCACCAAAGGGTCCCTTATTAAGATCCGTACCCATATGAACTTGTACTCGTCCACCTGAACAATCCACTCGAAATAAATACATGTTGCAATTCACTTTCCGTCCGCATGGACAGCAAACCATGCGCGATTCAGATATAAGTTCAGAACAACACATTTTACGTAAACCAGCGTTCTTAGTACTTAGTTGTGATCCTCTACCCAAAAGAAGGGCTCCCAAAGAATGACCCTGTAATCATAAGTGGGCACCCATGGAACTACATTAAGTCATGACCACGAGAACAACATTTTGGGTTTCTTGTTGAGCTCCTTGCACTAGTTCTGACACATGAGCTACGGTAGTTATTTGCTACATGGTTGAATGGTCGGGTGTTCCCACCTCGTTCTCCAACCCTGCGCCCGTTTGGCATTGAACAGCATTGACCTCGTTTTCCAACGCTGCAGTGTTCTCAACCACCTATTGGTTTTGGCTCATTTTCGGGGTGTTCGCACCTCGCATTGTACCTAATTCAGTCTGTTGCCCAAAAGATGTTTCCGCCGAAGATTTACTGTAGCTAGGTCCTCCAGTAGAGAGGCTGGAAGAAGGGAACCAACCTTTTTCTGTAGCCTATTTTAGTAGGGGAACCCGAACCCCCAAAAAAGTTGGTAAAAAAAGGCACCTAGCTGGGGGACCTAGGTAGTCTTCTGGGTGTGAATAGAAACTCTTAAACCAAAGGACGTCGCTCACACGCACGTCCAGAACTTCAGCGGGTGCCGTCCAAAGGGGTCCGGAGACTAGCTGACTGTTTGAGGCGCACCCAAAACCCAAACCCTTTGGCACCATTGCTTGAAAGGTAAAGGCCGGAAGACCATTAAAACCGGTAAATGAAGCACCTCACGTTTTTGGTGACCCAAACCTCTGAAGACTCTGGGGGTGAACAGCTCTCATAATTGGGCCCAAAGGACTCGTAGAATGGTTGCTTTCCTTGTGATATTCCAGAAGAACATAATCGAGACAAGGAGTGCAGTACTCTCAACAACAAACAAACCCCTTCCACTTGACTAAAGTAACTGATAGCAAGTATTCACTGTGAGTCGCACCTGCGCTGGTGGTTTGGCCCCAAACCGTAACTCTAAGCAACGAATCCCTCCCCTCAGCACGCTTTTAGTGCCCCAGATTTGCGCCGTCCATGTAAAATTAGCACCAGAACACAAGCTCAACTGCTCCTGCACCAGGCCGCTGTCTCCGCCAACTTCTGGATCACCCCAAGATACAACAGCCCCAGCTTCAAGAATGGCAGCAAAAAGCACCGCGAGTTGCTTGGATGCGCTGGACTTTCCTCAGCTGCTCTTGAACCTGGCTGCTGTCTCCACCAAAACTCGGACGACCCCAAGTCAGAACAGCCCCAGATTGGAGGGTGGCAGCAAAAGCACCGCCAGTTGCTTGTATGTGCTGGACGTTCCTCAGCTGCCCTTGCACCAGGCTGCTGTCTCCGCCACAGTTTGGATGACCCCAGGTCACAACAGCCCCAGATTCAAGTATGGCAGCAAAAGCATCGCCAGTTGCTTGTATGTGCTGTTCCTAGCTGCTCTTGCACCAGGCCACTGTGTCCGCCGTAGGCTGGATCACCCCGGCTGACAACAGCCCCAGATTCAATAATGGCAGCAAAAGCACCGCGAGTTGCTTGTATGGGCTGGACGTTCCTCAGCTGCTCTTGCACCAGGCTGCTGTCTCCGCCAACTTCTGGAGCACCCCAGGTCACACCAGCCCCAGATTCAAGAATGGCAGCAAAAGAAAGCACCGCGAGTTGCTTGGATGCGCTAGACGTTCCTCAGCTGCTCTTGAACCTGGCTGCTGTCTCCACCATATTTTGGATGACCTGCCAAGCTGCACGACCGCCGCGACCACGTCCCCATCTCGCAACCCGGCCTCACTAAGCGTGGCCGTCAAACCGAGCTGCCGGCCTTCCGCAGTGAGCTGCAAGCGGCGCTGGAAAAGCTGCTGGGCTGTAGCCATTGGGAAGCAGGAGAAACCCTCTTTTGAACGGGCTTTTAAGGAACCCCAACTAATTGCAAGGGTCACATTTTTGCACAGGTTCGCACGTTTGGACAATCCTTCATGGGTCTTGAACCTTCCCCTCTGGTGGCGACACCCCGCAGTTGACCAACCGGAGCTGAGCTAAAGCCCGAGATGGACGTCAGCGATTCGCTGGCAACGGCACCAAACCCCGTTGAGTCTTGGTTGACATTGGAAGGGGAGCAAAAAATATTTGTTTAGCTGTTCAGCGGGGATTTCCCACTAAACCACAAAAAACAAAAATGTAAAATGGTTCCCAACAACAACCATGGAGTTTGTATTTCAAGGGATAAGTGAAACATCTTCGGAGCGCCAAGTTCAGAAATGGCACTCCGGGTTATTAGGGCGGGCATGTCCCTACTGCTAGCCGTTTGAAGTTTGAAAGGGAAACCAACAAATTTTATCCATGTTGACACATCTTTGGTGTTCCGCTATCAACGCAAAATATTTAGAGACAGGGGTGTCTTTCCCCCACGTGTTCGTTTTGGTTTCCCTTTGAAACCAACCAAAAAGGGGGTACCCCCAAAAAAAAAGACAGACCCAAAAAAGGGGGGGTACCCTCAAATATCAAAATTATCTTAAGCATGGGTTATCGCCCCAATAGTATGGCGTGAATTCCCTTTTTTCAAGAAGCTCGAAACCTTCTGCAGAATTTCCTGACAACGGTCCACATCTCTGTTATTCTTTTTAAGCATCCTTCGAACTATCTTGGAAGAAGAGTCGGAGGAAGCTCAAAACCCGCCTTGAGCTCTTTCGGGTCTAGGTGAATACTATTACCTGGAGTCTCCATGACCCTTCAACCAATGGCGTCATTACCCAAAATAAAGGAGTCATGGACCCATGTGTTTAAGGGTCATGGAGACTCCAGGTATATAGAGCTGCGATCGCAGGTTGCTTTTCACGCCACGCTGAGGAACACCAGGCACAGCGAAGTCGTGGCGCGCAGGCCAGCCCCGAAGACGTTCCGCGGGAAGACCCGGGTGACGAAACCGGATCGCCGGCCATCCTCGCCGGGTTTTCACCCCAGACTCCGCCAGTCTTAGTCTCAGCCGAATCGGTGGTTCGGTGGTTGGGTGGTTTTCCACTCAGCATTTACGAGAAGGGGTTTAGATCCAAATCCACCAATCCAAGCCAGCAATTAGGGGCGACCTGATAGTCAGGGTTGACTTCAAGCCCTGAAAAACACATCAGGCTTTTGAGTGTGAACGCTCATAGACCCGACATGATGGACACACATCCAAACTTCATGTACAAGCACTTGAGAGGTGGTTCCAGCTCTGAAACTTCATGCCCACTTGCAACCAAGAGAGTGTATTCCACCTCTTCGGTCCGGTGGTGGATGGCTAGGTCCTCTAGTAGAGAGGCTGGACTAAGTTGGTACCATTTTATTTTGTTTGTCTATTTCAGTATGGACCCCCTCCCAAAAAAAAAAAACGGGGTCAGAAAGGGCACTACTGGGGGACCTAGATGGTTTGACTTCAAGCAATCCACCCCGCGGAAACTTTGAGAGATGACTAGACGCAGGCTAACACTGGTTTTCCCAGAAAGAGACATATGCCACTAGTAAACACTAGAAACCAAAAGGTGTCCCAACTCCACTGAACCTGAACAATCGCAACATGACTTGAAAAGGCCAACACATAAAAGCCAAGGACAATCAGACCCAAAAACTTCCGCGCAAGGCCAACACTCGATCCATGCGTGGGCCATGGTTTATCTAAATCGGGGACCCTTCCAACGAAAGGATCCATGACAAGCCCTTCCCTCCCTTGTTAGCAAACCCTGTTGCTTGCAGCCTACTAAACAAGTATCAGAACCGGATAAATCAGAAAAGAACACAAAGCCGGCATAGCCAAGGGATCCTTTGCTATCCCTAAGCCCAAGTGAGGTACAATCAAAAACTGCTATTAAAATGGTCTACCCAGAACCATGTAAAGAATCAAACACAACCATTTATGGTAAGGGGATTGTCCCTTACTATCCTCCAATTACCCGAGTCGGTTTTGATTGTGACTCAAGCGAGCAGGTCTTTTGACCAGGTTAGAATCAGTGTACCAACTTTGTTCTGTAGTCTATTTCAGTAGGGGAACCCTCCCAAAAAAAAAGTGAGAGGGCACCTAGCTGGGGGACCTAGGCAAGAACCCCGCGCAAGTCCTTGATTGGATCCAGCAGCCCATAGATCTCCAGGTCAACGCTGGCCGAATCGTTTCCAGCGCTTTCGTTCTGGTTCACCGCTTGTAGGGACCGCTCCTTGCCCAGTCCGCGCCATGAAAACAGTGCACCCTGTTTGCCCGGATGTGTACTTTTTGGCAACTTAAGGGAACCATGGAAGAAAGAATGTAAGGCCAGCGGCTGCTTCCTCCACTTTCCTTATTCTGATTGAATCAACAAACAGCGAAACCCAGCAAACAGATTGGACAAAAAGAGAGGTTCCAAACAAGTAGAACCAAACTCCAAACGAACTGACCGAAGAACATCGACTGTGGATCGACGAAATCCTGCACTTGGCAAATGGCATACGCCAGTCTTGGTTGAAGTTGGAAGGGGAGCAACAACAAAAAACTTAGCAGTTAAGTAGCGTAGCGACCCCGAGTAACATGATCCTGGAAGTTAATGTTCCTCAAATGGGACCTGGCAGTTCATTAACATGACTAGCATGAACTGGTGATGCATCCCAGTCTTCATACATCCCAACTGGTGTAGGCTTCCGTCCATCCACAGTATCTGCTGGTTCAAACTCCCAGACTTTGAATATCTGAAGCTTCCGTCTTGGTTCCATCGACTAAAACTGGAACAAGAACGAGAGACCATTCCATCCTTTTCTGTTTTGGGTGTTTCCCACACTAGGGGAACCCCAAAATGGGTTGCTTCCTTTTGGCGTCACAATAGTTGGAGTCATCTCAACATCTAATGTAATATATCGGACTAGAACAGTTCACATACAAAATAACTCTGGAAACTAAAACATATCCAATCCGTGTCCTCCATTTGATTAAGTCCCCTGGAAAAAAAAAAACAAAAAACATAATTGGAATGGATTCCCTTTAAAACCAACCGGGCGAAATAACACATATTCATTTCAGCAAAAGGAAGATATCAAATACAATAATAAACAAAGTTCAAACACAACATAACTCCGGAAAAAGAGAAAACATCTCCATCCATCCTTTTGTTACGTACCCTTTTAGGAAAGTACGAAAAACATACGTCGTCAAAGGGATAGGTTCCAGGCAAATCTACAAGACAGATTTCCCATAGATTTTCCAGTCACCCAACCCTTTGACCAATGGAAGAGCAGGGTGAGAGGGACACGCTAAGGAAACCCCGCCATTTTTCCGGGGTCCCCGAAAAAAGTAACCGGCACACCCCAAATGGGGGGTTCTCAAAAAAGTTGGTGGATGCGTGCAAAATCCTGTACCCCACCCCTTTGAACGGCTGAATCGAACCCCAGTCTTCGCCAAAGGCTCTCCGGGAGCCGCGATCGAGCCGGAGGTGGCGGTGTCCGGTGTAATCTGGGGCCGTTCCTGGCACTGGGGCTGCCCCGTCAAACCCAAAACAGTAGCTCGGATGCCCAGTGGATTTCCACGGGAAGAACAGAATTGGCACCCTGTGTTTGTTGAGTTTAAAGGGGAACCCTTACCCAAAAAAGGAAAAAAGGGCACCACTGGGCTGAAAGGTAGCACATGGGTCACCCACAAAATACTTGGCTTTGTTGGGAGGAACCTTTTTTGGGTTCCCTACAGATCAGAAACCTCGTTGTTTGCTGGTTTGGAGCCGAGTGGTAGTTCGGTGGTGAAATGGAGTGGTTCCATATTTGCCCTCTACAAGAACCAGGGACCCATTCCAAATCCAAACCGCCAATCCAAACCATCAACTAAGGGTTACCTGAACAGATTAACATGGAACCCACTTGTGGCGGACCTCCTTTTTGGTTTTCATGTTAGCTGTAGGGGAGCAACCTCTTGGAGCCTTCACGAAAAATGGGTAGCAAAGTGGTTGTGCGACCAAAAGGTTTTTGGGGAAGTGAGCTGTTCCAACATCCGTACCCTGGTAACCTTCGAAAAAAAGAAACCAAAAGGAGGTTGTTTCAACAATTGTCCGTGGTGGCATATTGAAACACACAACACCAAATGGAGGTTGCTAAAGCGCCGAAGCAAGTGATTTGAAGGACACAAGACGATATTTGGCAAACACCAGTGGCCTGAAGATGTTTAAGCCACAGCTTCACGCCAAATTCGGTTGCTTTCTGCTCCCCTGCTAAAAGCTTAACTTTTAGTGGGTTTAATGGAAAACCCATTAGTTGGCAAAAAGTTAAAGTCCTAACAGCCAAGCGAAATGCACCAAATACTTTTTGGATGGGTTTTAAAGGGAAGCCAATAAAAACACCACCTATCTGGAGGAATCGGTCCCCAATTTTGAGAAACACCCATGTGTGGTTCAAGGAAGGGGGCCAAAAAGAGTTTGAAGACAAAGCCAGCGCCTGTCCTCGATGGTCAGCTCGTTTGGCCCGCGCATGATGTGCCGCCCGATCTGCTCCATGTACTCCGAGACGCGGATGCGGTCGTAAAACATCCTGAAGTCGACGTAGGCGTGGGTGAGCTGCTTGGCTAGCATGGAATCCTCAAAGACGCGAGTCACTAGGTCCTCCAGTAGAGAGGTTAGAATAAGGGTACCCAACTTTTTTCGCTTTCGACTATTTTAGTAGGGAAAGCCTCCCCCAAAACAAGGGCAAAAGGGCACTACTGGGGGACCTAGACTGGTTTCCCAATTATACAAATTAAGAACCAGGGACCCGCCCAAATCCAAATCCAAACCACAAGTTCAAACTATATAGGGGTTCTCTAACTACATCATTCCCGCACTCCAACACAAAACACTCTGCGTGAGTTTCCTTGCGCACCGAGTCGGAACATGTACACAGGGGAACATTTCTGCAGCTAATCCCAAGCCAGCCGAATCTAATTTGTGGGTATAGGATTTGGTTTTCCTTTGTAGCCTCCTGCCAACAAGGAACACCACCTACAAGCAAAAACCTAAACACATGTCAACAACAGCAAAGCAAAGCAAGCAACTCACTCGCTCGGACACAGGTTGTTGACAAGCTAAAGCGGTCCACATGGCAAGGAATGTTGCGGCTCAGCTTTTTCATGGATATCGCTGAGCTTACTGCAATACTGGCAGCACCAAATCCTAAAACATTGGACAAACGAACTTCCGCGGGGATACGGAGGGAGCGGGGATATGGGGATATGGATTCCAACTTGGCGCCATTTCCCATAAACTTAGTCAAGGTGCCCTTAGGGGGATTCCTCCCTTATCCCTGGTTCCGCCTGTATCCCTGCTAGTTGGTTTCCCTGGAAATGACGGTTGGAAAATCGAGTCCTACGTGTCCATGATCTCACTTCAGATCAAGCGGATGTGCCAAAGCTGCTTTTGATTTAACTAAGATGGTCCAGACCCTGAAACGGAGCGCAAAGAGAGAGTTCCAAAGGAGCAACGTGCTGTTTCTCGAGGAATGAGGGAATGACCTCCCTAACCTTTGCTTGTGGCTTCAAAGGCCTTTGAATGTCTTTAAGGCTACCGTTTGTTGGATGTGTCTGCTTCAGGAACAGCTACAGGGCAAACCACCATTTCAACAGGTCTCCCTATACTTCCTCTTAAAACATCACCCATTGCAAGGGACACTCACCTTTCATGGGCCAAAAAGGTGATGTTTTGAAACCACCCAAAGGGGAAATACAGGGACCCCTGTTTCAAAGGTTCCTGAAAAGAACGGCCCACCCAAATCCAACTTCCGGACTCCCAAGAAGTTGCTTGAGGATCCAAGCGAGGTCCCTTCCGCCACGTCTGACGAAGATACGATTCCCCGACCGACCCCTTGAGTCACAGAAAGCAGCAAGCCGGCGATTGTCTGCAGGACATCGGAGTTGCAAACACGCACCAAAAACAAAATTCAAACAAATTGAACACGTATATATATATATATAATGTAATCTATATATATAATGTATATATATAATGTAATATATATATATATATAATGTATACATATATATATATATATATGTATGCATATATTGGCTGGTTTCTCAGACCAAGTCTTCCGCCCCCCAGCCCAGACCCAAGGCCGGCGCCTGCAAGCGATGGTCCAGCTCCTCCCCCGCGGCGCCCAGGTAGCGGCAGCTGTCCCACAGCGCGTCGTTGGAGCTTTCGTCCACGCGGAGCCGCAGCACCTGCGAGGCTCGTCTCGGATTGTTTTTGCGACGGAGGCGTTTTTTTTGAACACGCGAACATTTGGCACCTGCGAGGGGCGCGTGTGGGAAACGGCTTGGATACGCGCTCATGCACCCTTGAAGGAAACCAAATCGGGGATTGGTTTTCTTGTCTAGAAAATGGTTTGGAGGCGGATTTTTGGTGGATCCACCCCTGGAAAATAAATGAGGAAACTGAAAGATACGTTAGAATAAGGGTACCAACTAGGTCCTCCAGTAGAGAGGCTAGAACAAGGGTAGCGCGGTTGTTTTCTGTTTCCTCTATTTTGGTAGGGGAACCCTCCAAAAAAGGGTAAGACCTAGGCTCCTTTAGGGGTGGAAGCCAAAACCTGAGGTTCAACTTGCCTTCCATTTGCTTAAGCCGCCTGGCAAACAACAAAAATAACATGTGCCCTTTAAAGAAACACGGGGGAAAATTGACAATACTAGGTCCTCCAATAGAGAGGTTGGAATAAGTTGGTACCATGTTTTTCTTTTTCTGTGGTCTATTTTGGTAGGGGGAACCCTCGCAACCAAAAAAGGGGTGAGAAAGGGCACTACTGGGGACCTAGTCTAGCAAACGGCTTGGAGGCGGAATCCTTCTGGATCCACCTCTGTAGGAGACCAAGAGAGTACCGCTTTTTGGGGAAAGGAAATCAAAAGGAAAGCCACCAATTTTCGGGGGTCTAAACATGTCTAAAACAAGACACCCGTATATACCCATTGAACAAGTGACTTCCAAACATGAAATCGATAGCAAGATCTAGGAACCGCCTTGGATGCGGATTTTTTATGGATCCACCGCTGGAGAATAAATGAGGAAACTAAAAGAGCACCAAACAAGAAGCAACTCCAAACCGTTTTCCCTTTCATCAAACCCGTTCAATAAGATCTGAATAATTAGAACAAGGTAGTTGGGTACAACCAACTTGCACCCGGTGAATGGGTCCACGCGATATGTGGCTCTGAGGTGTTTCGGACAGCACCCTGTTCGCTTGGTGACCTGTGGCTGGACTTGTTACATTTTGCGCTTGGTGCAGAAAGAGCAAATCCGTTTGGCACTGGGGGTGTCTGCTGTTGGGATCCCCTATGTTTTCTGTCTTATTTCTTGAGCGGTTGTCGTTTCGGTGTTCCTTTTAAAACCACAAACACATGTAGCAACCGCGAAACAGTGCCACACAGAAAACTGTGGTAATTTTCGACTTCCTCTCAAACCACCGACAAGGGGGACCAACTCCAAAGAAGGGACCATCTCTTTAGAAGACGTGGGCCTGTGAACTTCCACGTTTGGCCTACTCTCTTATCCCAGTAAAGGTAGCCAAGTTTTCAAGTGGCCCCCCCCAGTGGATCCCAATTGCCCCAATAAATAACCAACCATCCTCTTAGTATTTGAAGGTTCCCTTCTAGGTCCTCCAGATTTGAGAGGTTAGACCAAGGGTACCAACTTTTTTCATTTTTGTCTATTTTAGTAGGGGAACCCTCCCCCAAAAAAGGTAAAAGGGTACCAGTGGGGGACCTAGCCTTCGATACCTACAGGGAAATCGCTGGGTTGGCTACATACTGAACAGGGGCCCCTCTAAGAGCAAAGCCTTAAACGGGGACACCCCCAATCAAGATCAACCAGTTCTGCTTCATCCGGGGTTGCTAGTAATTAAATGGAATCCCGAGTCAAACATAGGTACCCCAAGTAGAACCCTTGCAAATTCACACATGGACTAAAATTTGTGGCCCAACCCCTGGTGGATCAATTTTGACCCATACCCAAATGGAATCACTGAGCTATTGAACATTTGAAAAAGGCAAGCCGAAGGGAAACTACTCAAATTTCCCCACTTACGATCAAGTGGATGCCAAGAGTCCTGCAACATTGTGTTTACTAAAATGGTCCACACCCAAAAAGTCGCTAAACTCCGAAACGGAGCTCAGGAAGTGAGTTTCAGGCGTGGTGGTTTTGCTGTTTCTGCAACCCACTCAAAATTTCATCACCCAAAGCTCCCCGAAACTTGCCCGATTCTTCCGCGAGCTGGGACTCTTATCCTATGGATTCAAATAATTGCCCCGCAAGGGGCAGTTCACCAAGTACCAGAAATCTCAAGTGAATAAACCAAGCAAATTCGTTTCACAAACAAAATGCCGATGAGTACGCTTGTCAGCAACACCCCAACAGATTTGCCTGGCGCATGAAAATTGAAACCCACCCAATATCTATTGGTGAAGAGAAAGCCCCTAGACTTGCTCACAGCAACCCCGAAGATTCGCACAAGAATCCCCGGGCCTCTCGGTTCAAGTCACGTCAAGACATTTGTAAGGTGAATAACTATGGAGAAAGATACCCCCTGTTGGGCCCTATGTCCTTTCACACGTACCTTTTATATACTCATTCATGCGCATGCATGGCTTCTCAAGGTCTACATTGGGCCCATGTACCATTCTCTAGATTCGATAACCTTGACTCCTGTGCTGAGACCCTGGTAGTCTAAAGGCAGCACCTAAGGTTCTCAGCACTTCCTTTTTCAGGATGCAATTGTCCCGGCCTTTTTTTCCAGGCCTGAAGTGGTGTACAAACCGTATACTTGTTGTATGAAAGTAGTGCAATATGGCCATGGGTGAAAATCCAAATCGTACCCCCAGTGAACATCCGATTCAATCCAACCACTAAAATAGGTTCTAAAATGGGTGGCGCACCTACCTCAAAATGGTACCCCCCAGCCATATGCTTAAGACGAACCCATTTGTGCAAACCAAATCACCATGGTTCACACATTGGAAGTAAGACACTCCCAAGCAAAGCACCTTCATGGGCACACCCGTCTTCCCCCCCCCCCCTCGCCCCCCCGGGCCTAACACCGGGGCCTCATGACCAACATCCGCTGACTCTTCTTGATGGCTGCCCTTTGCACCAAAAAAGACTCTGTGCAGCTCAATGGACGTGGAAAAAACATGTTCCAACAAACAAATGGCGGTGGGTCAAAAATAGGTGCCCAAAATGGCTTAAACATGGGCTAAAACCTGCGGTCCATATCCTGGTGTTTTAATATGGACCCACACACCCAACTAAAGCTGGACGATCCAAGAGCATTCAAGTTCGAAACCCATGGCCTGCGTCTGCGCAAGGACGACCTGATGGTGCCAATGCGGCTGGCAGGGAAAGCAAAGCATGCCCGCGACATACTCCAGCAGCGTGTCCTCGATGAGTGGAAAGGCTTGATGTCAAGAAAAGCAACACTGATCCCTTCAAAGTGGATATAAATTTGCTTGGGGTACCAACTTATTCTGTAGTTTATTTTAGTAGGGGAACCCTCCCCGGGTAAAAGGGCACTACTGGGAGACCTAGTTTGATTGGGATACAAAACGCTGTCCGGTGCATGTGCAAGATAGCAAAAAGATGATCTCCAACTGGCGCGTTGAGGCAATGAGATGTGGTGATTCGAAGAAACTGATTGACACCAAAGGACCAAGACATAGTCATCAAAACGATCTGCGGTGAAACAACGGGACCTGGTTAAAACAGGTGAACACACGAGGGAAGCAGAAGCATCCGATACTTGCCCACTAAGCATCACTCTATCAATTTTAATGGTGTCCACTACTTCCCAACCACTACCTCCCAGGATTTTTTGTCGGGGGTGCTTAAACCTTGATATAGAAAACCCTTTTTGAGATTGTACAGATTGAACGCAACTGCTACGGGCGAAGCCGCTTCGGATTGGAGTGGACAACATGTGGGAAATGGAATCCACTTCTGTGATACAGCCAAAAAGCCTTCCCAAAGAGCACCCCCCATATAAAGGACAAGCGGAGATAGAGCTGGCCCCTCAAAGAGCACACACACACACACAACGCGCAACACACACACACACAGACACACAGACACACAGACACACACACACACACACACACACACACACACACACACACACACACACACACACACACACACACACACACACACACACACACACACACACACACACACACACACACACACACACACACACACACACACACACACACACACACACACGCAACACACACGCAACACACACGCAACACACACGCAACACACACACACACACATAGCCCATGCACGTGTGTTTGGGCGAGACTCAAAGCACCAGCCGTAGGTGTCAATGACCTCCTTCACGCGGAGTAGGGAGGTATCAAAGAGCTCCCGCTGGAAGAGGGAGGCCTCCTGATATGTGGGCGTCAGCCTCGGGACTCGCAAATGGGAGCCTTCAGGCCTCCCTTGAGCTTACCTTGGGCTCATTGAAATGATGTTCTTCCTAGTGCTACCTTCCATGTCCATTCTTTCCAGGGATCCTTCTTTCTAGAAAACCTCCGGAAACCCAGGGAAACGGCCGGTTTTCGAAGAGAACGACGGCTGGAAGTCTCCATGACCCTGAAAACATGGGGTCATTAGCCAAAATAATGGGGGTCATTGTCCAATTGTTTAAGGGTCATGGAGACTCCAGGTATAAGCCCTGGGCACCCCAAGGCGACTTACGGAACCCAAGGGAAGGAGTAGATTGCATTTGAAGAGTCCAGCTGCAAAATCAATAAAGGAAACCAAACCGGGTGTCCAGGTTTTGGCAGTGTCCAATCACCGATTGTTTTCGGCTACCAAGAAATGGTTCATGTAGATTAGGCTCCCGAAACAAATTGTTGTTACAGGAACCTCCGTTTAGTGGACCCCCTAAAACTGCTTCCAAACCAAGAAAGTTAGGATGGTTCACAAAGCTTGGTGACAACTGCCGCCTGCGCAAAAAGTTCCACTTTTTCAGCTAGGTGGGAAAGTCGTCCTTTCAAAGGTTGAAGACCCAACCCAATAACAGCCCAAAAAGGGAAACCAACGAAAAGCAAGCCAGTTGAAGGACGCCTAATCAAACCAGTGCATCTCAAGCATCATCCAATCCCGCGTTTTGCCCTGTCCTCCTGTTTCCCAAACAACCAGAGCTCAAGGGAGCAACATAGGTGAATAGGTGAGGGGGGGAGAGCGGGGGTTGGAAGCTCACAAGAAGAAAGAAAACACCAAAGTGGATAGGCAAACAAATCCGAAGTGTTTGGTTCCCCGTAGGAAGCGGGGGCAGGCTTCAGTGGTTTGAACAAACTGCAGCTCAGGAACAAAAACTCAAGTGGATCTCCCCCAAAAAAGGGGTGCACTCTTGTGTTGTTTGCCATTAAAAATGTTTTTCCAACTATTGTAAGAAACACTCGGGAGTGAGGACGACTCCGTGTTTACTCGGCCCCGCCTCAAGTCCTCCATCTCCTTCCTTGGCTGCCAAGAATGCTGAAAGTGGATGGCACAACTTTTCTGTCAAGGAAATTACATGGGAAAATGGCGCAATCTACTTTCCCCCAAATGTACTCTGACCCACCAACCCACCAACCCACCACCCGACCACCCAACCCACCCAACCCACCCAACCCACCCAACCCACCCAACCCACCACCCACCCACACACCCACCCACCCCACCCCACCCCACCCCACCCCACCCCACCCCACCCCACCCCACCCCACCCCACCCCACCCCACCCCACCCCACCCCACCCCACCCCACCCACCCCACCCCACCCCACCCCACCCCACCCCACCCCACCCCACCCCAGCCCCACCAACCAACCCACCAACCCCACCAACCCAAACCCACCAACCCCACCAAACCCACCAACCAACCAACCAACCAACCAACCAACCAACCAACCAACCAACCAACCAACCAACCAACCACCAACCCCACCAAACCCACCAACCCCACCAAACCCACCAACCAACCAACCAACCAACCAACCAACCAACCAACCAACCAACCAACCAACCAACCAACCAACCAACCAACCAACCAACCAACCAACCAACCAACCAACCAACCAACCAACCAACCAACCAACCAACCACCACCAAACCAAAACCAACCAACCAACCAAAACCAACCAACCAACCAACCCACCAACCCGCCAACCCGCCAACCCGCCAACCCGCCAACCCACCAACCCACTAACCCACCAACCCACCAACCCACCAACCCACCAACTCACCAACCCACACCAACCCACACCAACCCACACCAACCCACACCAACCCACACCAACCCACACCAACCCACACCAACCCACCACCAACCCACTCACCAACCCACCAATCCCACCAACCCCACCAACCCCACCAACCCCACCAACCCACCAACCCACCAACCCGCCAACCCGCCAACCCACCAACCCACCAACCAATCAACCAACCCACCCACTCACCCACCAACCCACCAACCCACCAACCCCACCAATCCCAGCAACCAACCAACCAAACCACCAACCCGCCAACCCGCCAACCCACCAACCCACCAACCAATCAACCAACCCACCCACTCACCAACCCACCAACCCCACCAAACCCAGCAACCAACCAACCAAACCACCAACCCACCAACCCGCCTCCCACCAACCCACCAACCAACCGACCGACCGACCGACCAACCAACCAACCCACCCACCCACCCACCAACCCACCAGCCCACCAGCCCACCAACCCACCAACCCGCCAACCCACCAACCCACCAACCCACCCACCAACCCACCAACCCACTAACCCACCAATTCACCAACCCAGTTGCGCATAAAATAGACAATCGTTGAATTTATGTTGGGACTTTACAGACACCAAAATGGGCATCGGTTTCCTTTTGGTTCCCTTCAAATTTGGCCGAAAGAAGGTGAATTGATGGATTCCACTGCTATCTTGGAATCAAAAATTGAAAGGGGGAACGCATAAGAAAATGTGTGTCATCGGCGTAGCCTAGGCTCAAGACAGTTGCATCAGCTGCAGCTGATACGGCGTGGGGCACGACTCCTCGCTGTCAGTCTCCCAATGGTCCACAAAAACAAGGTGAACTCAAGCGAGCTTTCCCTCCAACAAACCTGAAAAAGCGTATCTGGTCAAAATTGTAAGAGACGAGGAAAGAAGGGAGAGAGAAGGCACGCTCACTTTGTTTGCCACCACAGAGAAACCCGACCGCAAGGGTTCGAGGGAGGAGACCGCAATGTCTGGTGGGAATGCCTTTGCCCGCCTATATCTATCTCTGTCTTACTCTCTGGTAATCAACCAATGCCTAAAAAACATATAGCAAATGCCAGAATGACATAAACGAAGAACACACACGTAGAAATTCATCATAACTCGGGACCTTTTGGTGGACATGCCAGGGACAGAAAGAGATTGAATACAAACGCAATCTCATTTGCAAGTTGTCCAAAAGATGTTGAAAAAAAGTGATAGAAGCTAGACATGGCCCTCTCGCGTCCAGCTGTTAGCGATTCCAAGCGCGGGTGGTCAAACCTCAGTTTGCGACCTGTTTTGACCTGGATTATGGTCATCTTCACAAAGGCGTGAGCATTGCAAGTAGGGACCAAGTTAGTACTGCAGTTGGCCGCAACTTCGCTGTTGCATGTGGTTGCAAGGTAGTATTTAGCTGGCGTCCACTTTGCAGTTGGTATGTTTGGGGGTCCGCTGGGCGCGGCCGATTCAAATCGAAAGAAGCTCAGTTGAGGGGCGACTTGGCCTGGGCTTTGACTGTCCCCGTTCGAATAGGCGCTTATAAGAAAGTGTTTGCAAGCGAGCCGACCGATGGGACGGGGAAAGCAATTGCTAGCCGAGTACAGAAAGAAAGTGCGAGTTTCAAGCAAGGCTCCTGTCTCGAACGAAAGAAGCCGCCAGAAATTTACAACCGTAAATGCACAAGTAGAGCGTGAAGGGGCGCTCTGCGTTGGCGGCCTCCAAGAGCGGGATCAAAGAGCGAGTGCGGCATTGGCGGCCGTGGGCCGCCAGGTGCCATTGCTTCTGGCTCTGCTTCGGCGGGGCCACGACGGGGTGGATGCTTCCGCGCTCAGGCGGTGGAGCACGTCGCAAAGGCCGGCCGGGTCCTCGTCCCCGGATACGGCCCCCAGTGTGCACGGAAAGGTTGCCAGCTAGAATCCGCTGCCGTCGCCCCGGACGCAGCTTCCGCCCAGCTGCCAGAAGTGCGGGAGCACCGTGTAGTCCATGTGGCAACCAACAGGGGCCAACCAGCTCCGCCAACTGCTGCAAGCCTTCAGTGTTGGGCGTGCGGCCGCGGGCCGGTGATCAACCGCAGGCGGAAAACCATCCGCTCTGCCAAGCAGAAGCAAAGTGGCGACCCTGGGCGTGATGGTGTCGTCCTCGCCGCCCCTGGACAACCAGGCCCGGAAGGCACGCCGAAATCATAGCGATCGCCTCCATAGACAGCCCCCGGCGTGCTCCACGAAGCCTACAGCAGTTGGCAGCTCTCCCACCGCAGGCATGTGCCTGCTCAGAAGGGCATCAGTCAAAATTCTTGGGAATCTAAAATTTGAAAGAGCACTCAGAACCGTCTTGCAGCGAAACGATTGTTTTTTCCCAGCGCCTGGCGGTCGAACCACGTACTTAATTGCCCCCAAGGCCGACCTGATGACCTTTCGATTCTCTAGCAAACTCACTGATTCGATGAAAAGGCCCTGGAAACCATTGTAATTTGATGGTTTTCGGCTGCCACAACATGAAGAGCCCCAACGGCCGCGGCGACAGGAACCCGCGGCCTTGTCCTGTCTCACAACGAGTGGGTATGCCCCACCCCGGAAGCACCGGAAGCACCCCCTCCCCCCACCCCCCCAGCCAGGAGAAGCCCGCTGAAAGACAGACCTGCCCCGAGAGCTTGGAGTGGTTCAAAGGAAGAAGCAAACATCCAAGACTTCTCCAGATCCACACCGTAGTTGCAGGCCGGCTCAATTCAACAGACCTGCACAAAGGAAGCCAGGAAGGATTGTACCTGACGTTCTTGCCAGCTGAAAGCGGAGGGGGGCTGCTCCAACAACGAGTGCCCACCACCCTGACAGACTGCAATAAGAACCTGCACACAGCGCGAAAGTAGTTGCCGGCTCTGCTGTAGCTGAAACTGCTGGGCGCGAGACAGATTTGGCAATCCTTGGGGGTATTCAACTGTGCGCAAAGGAGCCGGACCCCCGGGAAGCAATCGCAGTCTGCTGTAGTCCTTGCATGGTGGACCTGCTGCTGCAAAAGCAACCCCGCCGCAAAAGGCAAGTCGCAAAAGTTGTTCAAAGAAGGCACCATCTCGCAAATCATGAGTGGAATCCAGGAGAAGATCCACACTCAAAACTGGGATGCCAAGCTGCAAGGCCGCCTTTGAAAGGGGGCTCGCCCCGGCACATGGTGAAGAAGGTGGGGCCTGAGGTGGTTCCCAATTGCCTGGAGGCCGGGTCAAACCCGGGCCCACCCCAGGAATGTCGGGCGTAGTGGAACCCAAATTCACCGCCCGAAAGTAAGGCCGGGCCCCCCCTAGTGCGGTGTACCCCGGTGTTCGTGTGCGGGGTGCTTGCCGGCGCAGGCCGATCCATCCTGCTTGGCCACGCAGCAAACATGAGCAAACTTGCGCAGCCCTGTGGTTGGTTGTACCGCACACAAATTGCCTTGGAGCCCTGCTTGGTCTCGTAGGAAGTGTTCCAGGCCTGCTTCGCGGGAGCATGGGTCTTGCCATTGCCTTTGCCACGCCCCTTGCCCTTTGTCCGACCCTTGGTGGCCAGAGGCGTCCTTTGCTGCAAAGCATTGGCCGACAAAGAGGAGCGAAGCGGGGCAGGTCTAGGCTGAAGTAATGATGAAAGAGTGCACCGAACCTCAACAATCTCGTGAAGTGCATCGTCCAGGCTCCAGCCCTTGGGAAAGCAAACCACCAACCTGTTCCCAAATAGTGCGGTCCGCGGACTGCATTTATCCTGTGCGTATCGCGCCTCAGCCAGTTTGAGGAAAGCCCTGTCAAACGTCTTCAGGGTAGCCAAATGAGCCCCTTTGCACAGAGCAATGGCCACTGAATGCACGGACAGAATCTGACCCATTGAAAAAGGCCCAAAGTCAGGGCCGGCACTTTTCTGGTTGAAACATCATCTAAAAGCAGGTCAGCGAGTTCCATCCTCGAGGAGCGGACAGGCCTGGTGCGATAGTCGTCCTCCATTCGTTGGCTCAAACGAAGCCTCCACGGTATGAAACGCCACTCCTTGCTAGCCAACTGACGATGAACCAATGCCAACAGCCGACAGTCTGCATCCAGCAAGTCCGACGCAAACCTTTGATCACTGAATCTGGCCCCTTCACCCCCAACCAACCCACCAACCCACGCACCCACCCACCCCACCCCACCCCACCCCACCCCACCCCACCCCACCCCACCCCACCCCACCCCACCCCACCCCACCCCACCCCACCCCACCCCACCCCACCCCCACCCCACCCCACCCCACCCCACCCCACCCCACCCCACCCCACCCCACCCCACCCCACCCCACCCCACCCCACCCCACCCCACACCCCACCCCCACCCCACCCCACACCCCACCCCCACCAACCCCCAACCCACACCCACCAACCCACCAAACCACCAACCACACAAGCAACCAACCAACCAACCAACCAACCCACCAACCACCAACCCACCAACCCACCAACCCACCAGCCCACCAACCCACCAACCCAACAACCCACCAACCCACCAACCCACCAACCCACGAACCCACCAACCCACCAAACCACCAACCACACAAGCAACCAACCAACCAACCAACCAACCCACCAACCCACCAACCCACCAACCCACCAGCCCACCAGCCCACCAACCCACCAACCCACCAACCCAACCCACCAACCCACCAACCCACGAACCCACCAACCCACCAAACCACCAACCACACAAGCAACCAACCAACCAACCAACCCACCAACCCACCCAACCCACCAACCCACCAACCCACCAACCCACCAACCCACCAGCCTACCAGCCCACCAACCCACCAACCCACCAACCCACCAACCCACCAGCCAACCCACCAGCCCCAACCAACCAACCAACCATCCCCCCTAAAACGGGGAGACAACCTGGCGTTAAACGGGCGGTTTCAGTTTATCCCTTCACAAGTTGAGACAACCTGGCATGGCTCCTCGGGTCTGCGTGTTGCGACGAGCGATTGCCCCATTCCAAGGGGTTTCAGTCCCTGGGCCACGTACCCCCCCCCCCCAAGTGGTATGGTCCCCCACTCCCCCGCATCATCTGCATCTTGGGGATGATGCTGGCAATGCTGGGGATGCTGTGCAGTACCCTAAGCCTAAACCAACCCAAACCCGAAACCCACCCGAAACCCACCGCAAACCAACCCTGAACCAACCCTAAACCCACCCCACCACCCCACCACCCCACCACCCCACCACCCGGGGGGGGGGAGGTTGGGATTCGAAGACACTTGCGAACCAAGCCTCAACAAGTCTCCAAGATGGGCGTTCGCCACCACTTGACCACTCTAAAGGGGATTCCCTTGGTATCACAGGAGTGGCAACCAAAAAACAAGAATGCTCTACACACATGGCTTACCTCAAGAACACTTGCTGCTTGGCCAGCTTGCCCTTACATTTCCCCAAAGGCAACTTGGCTTGCTTCAAACACATCCACATGCATCACGCGCACAAACTGAGCATTGTTCATAACCTTGACGCCCCCAAATCCTGTCCTTCTGTGTTCCCTGCCTAACCCTGGGCCTGCCCAATCCGCCCGGTAAGGAGAAAGAAGAACAAACCAAAGGGCTAAACGTCAAAAATGGACTTCTCAAGATAGTCGTCCACTTCCCAAAATGATTGAATTGGTTTCCTTCGGGTGGTTGTCATTGCAAGCGCCAAAAGTTAAACAGGGGAGTCAGAATCAACACCTGGTTTTAAGATGGCTGGGATTAAAAGGAAATTAAAAGGCGGCCGCACCTATTTCTGGCTGGGATTGCCCCTTACTAACCTTAATCTACCTGAGTTTTGCGAATTTTGATTGCGGCTCAGTTAAGTCTGGCCATCTACAACCGCAGGTCTTTCGTTGGAACAATACATTGCCCTGTTTAACGGAACAACACCAACCAAAACCAGCGGAACCCATCTATTTTCTAACCAAAACCTAAACCTCACTTCCTGAGTGGATTGGCCGAAGCAAGTCTGAACTTTGCCTAGGTCCTCCAGTTAGAGTAAGGGTACCCACTTTTTTCTGTTTCGTCTATTTTAGTAGGGGAAGCCCCCCCAAAAAAAGTTGGTCAAAGTTGGCACCTAGCTGGGGGACCTAGAACGGGTCTGCCCAAAAAGGTGACCTTTCATTTCCCCAGTCCTCTCCATAGGGAAAATGGCTGGTGGAGCTGCCAGGAGCTTTGTGGGTTTTCGCTTACCAAAATGGCTCAGACCCAAAAAGGACTACAGGCCAGGAACTCAAGAAGTGAGATACTAGTATAGTTTGTCTTTAAATAGGGGCCCAAATAAGTCCAAACTCTTTGTTTGCCAAAAAGTCCTGTCTTGACGTCCGCCAAAGGCTTGCTTCATGAGTGCCCAAAAAACGAGTCCTGAGTCTTTTTGTTTTACCAAAATTGCCCAATCCCCAAAAGTTGTTCAATGGACTCAGGAAGTGAGCCATGCAAAAAGAAATGCCACAGTATCCTTCAAAACCAAACCCCTTCCGTGCGCAAAAACTAGGTCCTCGAGTAGAGAGGCTAGAATCAGTTGGTACCCACTTTTTTTCCGTTTGGACTATCTTAGCAGCAACACCCTCCCCCAAAAACAAGGGGAGAGAAGGGCACCTAGCTGGGGACCTAGAAAAAATCCCCAACTGCGAGGCTCCGGAAGGACTCCAAGCGCTGCTCCTTCTCCTTCCAGTGCTGCTTCCAGAGCTCGAACACGCTGCGCTGCTCCTGAGCTTCGAACGCTTGAAACCCAGCGGCGCCGATTTCGATTTCTTGGAGGCCACCCACCAACTACAGGGAGCCGGATGCATTATGCACCTGAACATTGCAACTTGCAAATGGTGGCGTCCAACTTTATCTTGGTGTTGAAAAAGCCACATGTTTCAAATGGTTGCAAAATGGAGATCTTTTAAGGAGCCCTGAAATACTTTTTAAGAAAAACAAAAAACAAGACTTGCTTTCTTGGACAAGACCCAACCAATACTTGTTTGCCCATGTATGGGGGGGAGGGGGGGGGTGGAGATTGTGCACAGGAAGTTGGACAACTACCGATTCCAAATACTGCTGATATGTATATATATATATATTGCTGTTGTATATACACAAACTGTTTCCTGGTTGCGAGGAAAAACGAAGGAAACCCGAAAAGGACAAAAGGGCAAAGGTGACATATATATATATATATATATATGTCCGGCGATCTATATTGAACTTATTTCCATTTTGCCCACACTGGACAATGGAAAATGACTAAACAGGGGAAGTATATTAATAGAAACATAGAAAGCTGCATATGAATAATAGGTGTGGGAATGAATACTGTATCCCCATGAATGTAAAGCTGTAATATGAATATCTGGAGGACCAGACATATTCACTAATGTCCAACCTGTTCGTGAGATCGCCAGAAGTTGCCAGAGTTTCATTGCGCGTGAAGCAGGAAAGCATCTCGATGATGTTGAAACGAATGACGACGGTGCTGCTCATGGTGATGAAGGTGAGGCTGAAGATGAACATGAAGATTAAATTAATGAAGATACGATGAAGATGAAGGGAATGATCAAATTAATGCAGATGTTTAATCTTTCTACATCCAGGAGATTCAAACGTCAAGGAATTCCTAGTCATTCTCGGCATTGACCCTGTTTTGGACGCAAACGCACGCAAATTACCGCAAACGCCTAGAAACAGGAAACGCCCGCAAATTGCCGCAAAACACCCGCAAAAAAGGGGCAAACGCCCGCAAAAAAGCGCCAAAAAAAACAGCAAAACGCCTAAAACGCCTAAAACGCCTTGAGAACCAGAACGCCTAGGAATTCCTCGGCATTGGAATCTCCAGGATGATAAAATAAACATAAAGATTAAGATGAAGATGCACATACTTGTATATACCGATCTGAAGATTAAGATGACGGTGACGGTGACGGTGACGGGGATGACGATGATGACAACGACGATGAGGATGATGATGATGATGATGATGATGATGCTGATGATGATGGCGCTGACAATGGGATACTGGCGATTCTGATGATGATGCTGCTGCTGATAATGACGATGGCGATGACACTGCTGCTGATGATACGACGATTCATCACGATGACTGTGACGGTGACAAGAACGATGGCTATCACCAGGACGGCGACCGCGACGACGGCAACAACGTTGACGACGAGGACGACCCTGAGGATGACAACGATAAGAGCGACAATGATGCCGAGGAGGAGGAGGAGGAGGAGGAGGAAAAGAGGGGGGAAGGAAGCAGGAGAAGAGGACAAGCAAAGGGAGAAGGAGGACGAGGAGAAGCGTGATGCCAGTGATGATAGCGAAGATTGATGGTGATCAATGTCGCACAAGTTTCATAATAATCTGCCAGGGACGATGCTGCCAAAGGCGATGCTGATGATGACAATGGTTGGTGGGCAAACACACTCACACACACACACATGTCAGCAAAGTTCAATGTATTGCCGGTTGAGCAAACATACATGTTCCCACAACTGGGCTGTCCTCAGATCCCCTGCTAAAGGTTTAACTTGTAGTGGGTTCAATTCGGAAGCCCGACCACTAAGCCAACAAAAAAAGGCACAACCTAAGTAGGAACCGGACTGGGAACCGCCAAAAGATCCAACGATCCAACAGCATCCTCTGGGATCGAATGCGACCTTGTGGACGGCACGGCACCTGGGGGTGCTTTGTCTTACGCCGAGCCGCATCCTCGAAAGATGGCGTGCAGCATGCAGGCTGCCTAGGGGAAACGGATGCCGGAGAAGCGTTCCACCCCTAAACCCAGGAGGGACAAATAATATGAATTTCATTGATATGCACTATGCAACAATATGCAACAATAAGGGCAACAATATAATAAGGGCAACAATATGCAACAATGTAAGATGTTACCCAATGTTCATGCCAATTGCTGAGTGGACAGTCTGAGCCGATCGTTTCCAAAACGTAGAAAGTCCTTGACCTTTAGAGATGAGTCATCCAGGCACACCAAAAAGGGATGCAAGGCAGAATGCACTGGACCCCAGCGATCTTGGGATGGGGTTGGGTGGAACCCACTTGGCTACCCTCCCAACAAGGACTTTGCCTCTCCGGTTGCTGCCCAAAGGGAATTCGTGGTCGTCCAGTCGGAAGTCAGCCAGGCCGTGTTTGGAGAGCTGAACCCACAAAGAGGAATAGCAAAAGGTAGGGCTCACTGGGCCGGTTGCTCTTGGTTTTGGTAGACGTTGATATCCAAAGGCAAAAAGGATGACGAGATCTAAGGAATCCACCAGAAAAAGAAAAAGAAGAAGAACAAAAAACGTGGTGACGGCTTCTGTAGGCCTCAAGGATGTGGCACCCTCCTCATACCTCATGTGGGTTTAGACGTTGTGCAACTGGGCTTGGCATTCTTTTTGTTTGGGCCTGTTTTGTTGGAGTCACCTTGGTTCCGAGAACTAAGCCCTGGATGCTTCCTGCGCTCAATATCTACGTTCTTAGGGCACGATGTCCGGCGATCTGTTCCGAAGGAGGTGAGCATGGAAGACCTAGTTGTTCCAGTTTGTCACCAAAAAGTCAAAATAGGCGGTTTGGTTTGTCTCACAAATGAGCATCCAGCACCAACAAACCAGCAGGTCGCCCGGAGCTTCCACTCCGCAACTGAGCGGCTGGTTCCAGAGGGGACAAAGGTTGAGGTTCCTCTGCAGCATCGGCCTGCTGGCCAGGTGTCGAATGTCGCTCTTGCCAGCCCAGTGAGGCTGGAAGAGCGGGTTGAAGCCTTGGTTAGAACCGATTTGGCCAGTGTGTAGCTGAAACTGACATGACTTCTGACTAAGACACCCTGCAAAAAGCTAAACCTTCTGCCGGTTGAATTGAAAACGAAGCAACCCCAAGGAAACGTTAACAAGAGGAGCAAAGTCTGGCAAATAAATGAAGTTTCAAAGGAACATTGGGGAGCACACAGGGTCTCTCAAAGGGTACATTTGACCAAATTAGAAACCTTTGGCCCGCTGATTTAGAGGACCCCCCTCTACTTGTAAAGCAGCTGGTTTTTGCTTGAGGTGTCTTTTGACCCCGTTGCTGAGATCCGAGGGGTGTTTCTAAAATCCCTAAGGTGGTCAAGTATCAAGGGTCCATGTATTGCTGGGGTGTCTCTGGTATGGCCATTGTTGATGCCACATGAAGGGGATGCCATTCCAAGTGGGTTCCGGTTCCTTTGCAATAGCTCGTCAGCCACAAAACGACAACTGCCTTCTGGCAAGCGAACAAATGTCGCAAAACGGACTGAAACTTGCCTGTACACCACATGGGTAGTATTCCTAGACGGTTTCCCGTTAACGTCAACTACCCAAGACACGGTGGTGGGTTTAAAAGGGAAACCTAAAGAAAAAACACCATTTTGTGGGCAATGGTCCTTCGATTCCCATCCGAATCGATGTCACTGGATTTCACAAAAGCATGAATCCAAGCTGGCTTCGAGTGTATCACACACCACTTGAGATCCAAATCTAGGAAGTTGGGAGGGAGTCCCTGTCTGAAGCAGCCCCTTTCTGTCATGACTGCTCTATGAATTGAAGGGGAAATGTTGGAATAGAAATCTGAGGAACGTGCAAAGGTGTAAAATGGGTGTGGCTCAAAATCAAAGAGCTAGGGTTACGCAGAATTTAGCCTTTGGTTCCGTTTACCAAGGTGCCACTTAGGTACATGTTTTTGAGCCAAACGCTGCCCCAGAAGCAATCGCCGTCTTTGGGCGTTACCAGCTCTCCAGCCGCAAGTAGAAGAGGCACGAGCCATGGCTTCATTGGCCAAGTTGGAAGCGCCAACACGGAACCTGCCTGAGGCCCTGGTTTGGATGTCCTGGGTTCCATGCGGGAAACGGAAGTTGGAGAATTGGAAGTAGCCTGAGGGCTTCCCCCCAAAAAAAAACCTTCTGCTTTTTGCGGGGGAACGGTATGGGGGCAAAGGAATATGAGGTGTCACCACCAACATGGGCCAAAACAAATTATGAACTTTTTATTTCCCACCAACAGGGGCTTCCCACAAAGTATAAAGACCATGAACTCAGGGAGTGAGTGTATGGATAATGTGTCCTGGGTTCCATGGCAACGTGGGAAACGGAAGTGGGAGAATTGGAAGTAGTCTGAGGGCTCCCTTCTGCTTTTTGGGGGGGACAGGGTAGGGTGGCAAATTAATATGAGGTGTCAAACCCAAACCAGCTGGCCTGATGCTGGCCACAAGTTGAAAGCCCTGAACTCATCATGAGTTTGTCTCAAAGTAAAACCCCAGAAAGTTGTGGTTCCTTTTGGCTTCCTTTCCAAAACAACCAAAAATGGTTCCCTCAACAATAGACACGGCTAAACTTGGCCAACTCAAGAGCTATGCCGTCATATCTCGCAGCATTCTTAAGCCAGAGGGCTTGCTCGGGTGGTAATCCTTCGGCAATCCACTTAGTTCGCCTCGCGTGAATCTGGGATTAATTACCAACTTGCTCGCGGGTTTTCTCGCCCAAGTGGCCAACCACTTACCTGGCGAGTTGAACATAGGTCAGGAAGCAACAAACAGATCTGAGCTTTTGGGTTTCTTTGACAACGCACACACACACACACACATGGGAGCTGCATGCCGCACCACGCTTTGTGCCATGCGAAATGCGAGCTGCATCCAATGACTGGAACAAACTCGCCTTTGCACTCCGAATTCTGCCAGGACAGTACAAGCTGTTAGCAACCTAAGTTATAACCCACTTATATTCACTTCCTGAGTGGACTGGCCAGCCAAAGTGCAAACTTTTTGATTACCACCGAAATGGTCTTCCCAATAGTTTACAGTCCATAAACTCAGAAAGTGAGTCTAAGTCCCCCCAACGTGGGGTTCGCCTTCTTATGAGAGAGTTAAAACCCAGGTGGCTAACCAGTTTCTAACCATGGCCGAACATTCGCGTATAAAACCCTTGGCCATCGTCTATAGTCTATTTTAGTAGGAACCCTCCCCAAAAAGGGTAAAAGGGCACTACTGGGGGACCTAGGTGGTTTCACCCAAGGGTCATCCCATGTATTTCGGACCTTTTGATCATCCCCCAAGAGGCAGGCTCCTGGACCGAAATCCACGCTGGCGGGTTTCTGGGCGGGTTTCTTTCCCACAAAATAGTTTCCCGACCGAACAAACATAATGGACCAGTCTGGAAGAAACAGGGCCTTTTTGGGATGTGGGCAAAAGAGACACCCCTTCTCGCAGAGTGAACGAAGGGCACAATGCCCGCGTTACTCATCATCAATTTTGCTTGTGGGGGTGTTTTTTTAGGAGTGATCGTTTATAAAACTGTCAACAAGGGGTACTGGCAAAAACAGACTAGACGCCCTACTAAAAAGAACAGAACCAAAAAGTAAATAAGCCAAAACACTAAAACATGCCAACAGTGGAGACACCCTTCTCAGGAAATGGTTCGCAATCTTCCCCCTTCCACTAAATAAGCGAAAATGTAAACAACTGTTTCCCAACAACAACCATGATTACCAGTGAAAGCAAAGGCTCTGCCACCATTCCTCTGGTGTCAAATCAAGAAGCAACCGTGGGTTGATTAGCACTAACGAGCCCGTATTTTGAGAAACCCCTCTAAAAACAAACCGGCACCCCCGCTTCCAGCCCAAGCCTTCGGCTTCCGCACGCCGGACCAATCCGGAAAAAAAAAAATCGCGTCGCTTGCGACGACGACGGCGAGAAGAAGCGCGCGAGACCGGCGAGCTCCAGCCGCAAGCGCCTCGCGAGCGAAACGAAAACCAGGGCGACGTACCACCAAACCGGGCAAGGGGGGGGGGGCCGGATGAATACCCCCCCGAGGATTGGTGGAAGAAATGAGGGGGACGACTTTTTGTGCAAGGGGTCGATTTTTTTTGGTGGGGAGTGCTTTCTGTGAGAGAAATCGCTGATTCATAGCTTGGGCTCAACATTCCGCCTTAGAAAAAACCTAATCCAAGGGTGCTGAGAAACTTCGAGGGGGTGGGCCCGATGTTGTCTCGCCTGGCTCCGTTCATTCAGACAGATGTGCTCCCAAATTGGCACAAGTGACGTTTGAAACCGCAAACAACCATGTCAGAGAATGGTGCAGTTTGGGGAATCTGCCTTCTCCCTGAAGCACACGCAATACCCTTACACAACCGAGTTTGTATTGACAAACATTACAGCCCTTCTGCCCTTCTGGGTTCGTCTCCGAATAGGTAATTCGGAGACCACCAAAACTGGTTGGTGTATGTTGGCTTTTCCTTACTTTGAACCCATCCCGAATAGAGACCTTTGTTCCGATTTTGAGAAAACCCAAAAACCTGAGGTTATCAGGCTTCAACCATCTGCTGAACACGTAGCTTGGTATGGCTGTCCCTTGGACATCAAGGTTTGCTAAAGCCAATGGGGCCACACCAATGGCGGACGATGTACGACATCTGTTCCAGTGTCCAAGAAAATGTATGGGCAAGTAGTTGTGTTTTTCCATTTTTTTCTTCCTCCAAATTTCCTTCTACTCACTTCCGATCGAGTGGATTGGCCCTGATAAAGATAGCATTTAAATAACTCTCTTGGGCCCATACCAATGTCCATTCTAGCACAACAACTCCTTCCCAAAAGCTATGGGTGCTAAAAGGGGGGTCTGGAAAAACATAGCACGATCAGGTTCAAAAAAAGGATAAGTCCCCTGGAAAACCATAACACCAAGAACACATTTCCCCCTGCTAAAATTTTAACTTTCAGTGGTTTAATGGAAAACCCATTAGTTGGCAAAGAGTTAAAGTCCCAATATCCAGGCAAAATGCACCAAAGGCAAGCAAACAAAAAGTACATACAGGGAGCTCTGAGAATGGTGAATGTCTTCAAATTATCGTGCACATTTACCCAAGTCATGGTTGCCGGCGTGCCTCAAAGGATTTACTTGGGGCTTAATGCTTCCAATTCTTGGAGCCTAGGTCGCAAGGGAACTCCGCTGCACGGATCAAGGATGCAAAGACAGATTCAAGACCACACAATAACATCATCAGCAGGGTGGGGTATGAGCAGTTTGGCATGAGAGTGACTTTGTCATGCATATTGAATGTCCTCGCACATGCTGAGTGGACATGACATTCCATGTACATGATATCCACCAAGGGGTCCCCAATCAACATCATACCACACGTTGGACGCCCGGCATCTAAATGTATTCCTGGCAAAATGATGGCACCTAAAAGCGACCCTTGTCTAGTTGCCAGTAGAATCGTCGCCAATGGTTGTTCGGTCAAAAGCTGACGTGTCTGTGTCTGAGCGTGTGTGTGTGTGTGCAGTTGGACATGTTTCTTTGGGAGTGATTTCCTGGACATAGATCTCGCATTCTCTTTCTTTGCATGTTCCATCGGGCTATTGGTTACACAACCTCTTTTTGTTTTCCCTTTGCAGGAGTCCAGGAGTCCAGGAGGGCTCAGGGCAAAACCATCTGGCTAGCCTTGTGTCACTCCTTTCAGAGTGTTAAAGGGTCCCCATTCTTAAGCGAACGGACTTGTTTTGGGTTACTCTAGGGGTACCTTCCATTTCCATTCTTTCCAGGGATCCTTCTCTCTAGAAAACCTCCGGAAACCCAAAAAACACGGCTGGTGATTGAAAAGAAGGATGGTTGAAAAGAATGGTTGGAATCAACCCCTGCAGTTACGGAAAGGATCTTCCTTTAAATGTGACCGTCCGGAAACTATTGGATACCCTCTCCCATCCACAAAATGGAACCTCACACAAAGGCCCTGGAAGACCATGTTCCTTCAAAAGGGCACTGCCTGGTGGGTTCTATGTTAGTGCACCAGAGGGTATCCAATAACCACTTCTGAATGATTCTAATTTGAGGACTGTCCCCTTGTTAGACTCTCACTTGCTGGGTTGACCAAATAAGTAACCAAATTTTTGCCTTGCCACTAAACTGGTCCAGACCCAAATAGCGACTAAGGTCCAGGAAATCAAGAAAATAAGAAGTTCATTTCTTGGGTCTGCCTTTTTTAAGTGGACCTCCCCCCCAAAAAAAAACAAAAACAAAAAACATGCCCCAAAAAATATGCTGATTTCAACTTGTGGCATTCCATTTAAACGCCCCAAGCAGGTGGTTTTTGTTCAGCCCGATTTCCCCAAAATGGGTGCCTGTGAAGCTGGGACCCGCCCTCGCCGAAGAGTAAGCCGTAATGCAGCCAGTCCTGAGGCCATCGCCGGGCTCAGCCGCTTGTTTCACGGGCGACATCTCGTTTTCGAGGGCATCTGATTTTGGTGGAGAAAAACAACTGAGAGCAAAATGAATGCCTTAATTGGTTGATTTTGGTTGATGTGATTTTGGTTGAGATCTCAAAACGAGAGCATTCTTCCGGTCCAGTAAGATCTCAATTAATGCCTTCTTGCGAATATAAATGCCGATCGCGCAAATCACGAAGGCAAACACACGCGGCACCCAGCACCCAGCAGCCAGCACCCGGGTCCGGGACTTCGTTGTTTTGGACAATTTGGAGGGGATTTTGACAGAAAAGGCAGTTGTTGGGGGGGTGCTGGACAACAAAAACCTATGTTTTCTTCATACTGTCTTAGCCTGCCGCGGCACCGTGCGTGTGCCTGCGACTGTCAAAGCTCAGCCTGGCCGCAAGCCTCGCACATCAGCCTGTTGCCGAGTGCTTGGCGCAAGCCAAGCACCCGAGGGGCCATGGGGTCTATCCCGGATAAGCCAAAGATCAGCCGTCATGACCCCTCCAATACATGCAGACTCCCGTACCCTCCAATGGAGAACCCTGACCCCTCAAGGGCCCTCAACAACAACCCATTCGGAGGGCCGTTCCCCTCAAGTGATGAATTCCAACTAAACCAGGGACACCCCCCCTAAGAATAAACTTAGGTTGATTAAGCCGGGGTCAACAGTAAAGGGTCAGCAAGAACCTCTCGGGGTCATGTGTCTCTTTTTAGGGGACCCGCCAAACTGGCGGTTTTCCTTTTGATTTACCTCTAACCCCTCCCCCCCAAAAAAAAGAAAACACAAAAACAATGATTTGTTTGGGCTTGCCTCCAATTATCCCCCCACACAAAAAAAAGGGAACCCTCCACAAGAATATATCTGGGATTGTCCCTTACTAACCTTCATCTACCCGGGTTTTGAGCCAGTGGCTCATCTGTTAGATCCGCTCCATGCGCCGTCCTCCGCGCGGAGGCCCTCACGCCGCACCGCCGCCTGGTGGAAGCAACCTCAGCGTTTCGCGCGCGAAGCGGCGAGCGGTTTTTGGTCGAAGGGGAGTTCCTAAGCAGGGTGTCTAGGTCCTCCAATAGAGAGGTTAGGGTTTAGGGTACCCACTGTTTTCAACTTTTAGTGGGGAGGTCCTAAGGAGTTCCTAAGGGAGTTCCTAAGAGTTTAAGCCTTTAGTGGGTTAGATGGAAATCCACACTAAACCTAGGTCTTCCAGTAGAGAGGTTAGAATAAGTTGGTAACGGTCCGAATCCCATTTTGAGAAGCTCCCAAATGAGTCAGGGAACCCCAACAACTGTGGTTTCCAAAAAAGAAGGTTTCAAAAGGGCTTCCAACAAGTTTCAACTGCCCCTTAAAACCAGCACTACACCGTGTCAATTTGTGTATCAAAGGGGTGTCCAACACAAGCTAGGTCCAGTAGGTTAGAATCAGGTGCCCTAAATCTTCTGTTTCGTCTATAGCACGACGTTTAGGGGACGCCGAAACCCCAAAAACCGTTGGCCAAAGTTGGCGTCCATAGAAACTGGATCCGGGCGGGTAGCGGCTAGAACTAGGCCCCCAGCAAGTTGGTGGTTTTTCCTTGCCTGGTTCGTGGAACACAAAGGGACCCCAAAAAAGCAAAAACAACAAGAAGGGGAGCTAGTTCTGGGGAAGGTTTAAGTCTCATGTGAATTGAAAAGCTATTCCCTTGGGGGGTAGTTTAACGGGAAACCAAGAGATAACCGCTGATTCATTCCTGGTAGAGACACACCTTCTACCCTTTTTCATGGGTAGCTTGAGGGTTCAGGTGGTTTTCTAGAAATTCCTGGCCTCGCTATTTTACCATGATCAAAGTCAGCCCCTAAGTGGTGGGTTAAAGGGAAACAACCGATTCCATTTTCTGACTTTGATAACTCCCAGAAACCGAATCCAAATAATGACCCCAGTAGAAAGTTTCGGATCCCTGGAAAGAGTGCGCGGTCCCTGGGGTTCTATCCGCCAACCATGGCCGGGTGCAAATGTAACCTCCATGGTTTCCCGTTCTGGAGACAGTCATACAAGTTGGGTCAACCATCTTTTAATGGGGACGGCCATTTGCTTAAGTCCACTGGGAAAAAACATATTTCCAGTCGTGAAATCGATTCCCTTGAAAACCAACAGTGGCAAACAAGAACAAAAAAACGCCAACTTTAGCAGGGTTTTCTTGGGCTATTCACTTTTAATGGGGGTTGAACCCTAGGGTGGGTCCCGATTTAATCACCAGCGCTGTGGTCCCAGCGCTTGGCCGTCTCCCTCAGCAAAGGCTCAGAGTCCGCGGGGACCTGCGATCTCCGCGAGATCAACGCGCGACAGCGTGGAAAAAAACGCGGGGGCGGCCCGCGGTCCCGTGCGAAAGCGACTTTCTTTTTCCGGAACCCCCCCTCCCCCCCGTGTTCGGTGGGTTTTGAGGAACAAGAAAACCACCCATGTTTCGGGGGAACCAAAAAGGTGCCAAAAAGGGTGATGTGTGTTGGGTGGTCTCTTCCTTTTTCTCACTTCCTGAGTGAAACTGATCCAGACCCAAAAAGTGACCAAAGTCCAGGAACTCAGGGAGTGAGTTTTTGGCGTGCCTTGGTAGGGGGAACCAGGAAGGAACCCCGACATCCTCCAGTTCGGGGTTCCGCAAGTAGACCATTTTCTAAGTGGAAGCCCTGAGAGAGATGCTCGACTCCAAGTCTTTGACACCAAAAGGCCAGGGCTTTGTGCTTCAAATGCCTGTGGCTCAACCAACCGGTACCAAGATGGAACCCTAGCGAGTGGAAACATGGACCAAAACCTGCGGTTTGCCCCTCCTGTTTAATTTTGAGCCACACCCAAGTTGTCTCTTTGAGGGACCCCCGAACTTTTTCAGGCCCGAGTTTCAAGCGAAAACCATGGGCTGCTTCCAAACGAAGCTCAGGGTTTAGACGGGGCTTTGGGCTTCAGAGATTCTGGGATCCAGAGAGGTTCGCGGTTTTCTGACAGCCTTTTGTGCCGGGCTTGCTGGAGGTCTTGGCAGCGGCCCTGCTTCACTTGCTGGTTCTTGGAACGAATATCAGGCCTTCCCATTCCACCTGCGCAAAGTTTTTGCACTACACTTGGTTGACGTTGGAAGGGGAGCAGTTGTTTTTTTTGTCAAAGTTTAGCAATTAAGCAAAATCCTACTAAACCACAATAAGCAAAAACGTAAAATGCTTCCCAACAACCATGATAAGCCCAAGTGGGCATCCCAACAATCCCCTGGAACCCTCCCAACAGCCCCTACCCTCAATGAAAGCTGGCTCAATGGGCAGAGACCCAATAGCCTTCAGCTGTTGGGGGAAAAGTCAAATTGAAACCGTCTCTCGTTCAAAGTTGTCATTTCCAGCTGCATGGCTTTTGGGGGCAAGGGACATAAACCAAACAAAAAAAAACGATCCATGTGTTTTTTGGTTGCTTCCTCCAGAACCCATACCTGAACATTGGCAAAACAATGAAACCCGTCAGATCCCTTGCTAGAAGTTGAAAACTTCGGAAACCCTATCACTAAACCAACAAAATACAACTACAAACCTAAGGGGATGGATGGGAACGAGGTTGACCGGGACCCGAATATATGTGGTTAGCCAACTTGTGGCTGCCCTAGCCCCAAATTTGCCTCAAACAAAGAAGACACAAATTCAAGGACCGGGTTCCCTTTGGGTAAATCAAACAGATCGATGCTTGCAATCAATTCGCACTCCGTTCAACAAAACGTTGATCTGAACATCTGGAAACACCCAATCCCAATCTATGTTCAAAAAAATATTACCCAGCCTGAAGCCCAAATTTGGCCCAATTCAAGAAACCGTTTCTGTTTTTCGATCGAACCCAGAAAGGACCTCAAGAGCAAACCTTGGCACCCCCCACCCCCCAAAAAAAACAAACACCCTAAGGGTCCCGACTGTTTTTGGGCCCTCCAACTAGGTTGTTGTTGAGGGCCCCTGACAAATTGGTCGGGGTTCTTCATTGGAGGGCCCGGGGGTCTGCATTGGAGGGGTCATGACCCTTAGGGGCAAAGCAACAAACACGAGCCTCAACCAAAAGCACCCCCCCTGAGAGCAAGCTGAGGCTGGCGCTGGGCAACGAGCTTCTACGAAGGCCAGGAAGTCTGATTGGGTGATGTGCCTCGTGATCCCATTCAAGGGCCCGGGTGGGTGGGGTGGGGTGGTGGGGTGGGGTGGGGTGGGGTGGGGTGGGGTGGGGTGTGTGGGGTTGGGGTGGGGTGGGGTGGGGGGCGGGGCGGGGTAGGGTGGGGTGGGGTGGTGGTGGGGTGACGGCGCAGCGCAACGTGACTAAATCACCTTCATGTCTCGCGTGAGCACCACACAACCAGGGCATTGGCGTTTCAGCAGCTTCAACCTCTGGCAGCTTCTCCGCCCTTAGCTCAATGCCACGCATCGAGAACAACACGAATGAGAGTGGCCATCATCAGCGCGGCTCCCTGCTGGTCATTAGGTATACGGCTAAGCAGACTGAAAGGCAGCTCTCCAAGCGTAGCGCTGGCTTGTTTCCTGGCATGCTCCTTGCCCGGTTGCAACAAGGCAGCTTGCACGCGGGCCCTTGAATTGCCAGTGTTCCCACGCTCAAGCGCATCCAGCTCTTCATCAGCCTCAGCTGTCTCAAAGAAATCAGAGGACTTCAAGGGCGACTTCATCGGCAAAGAAGACTTGATAGACTTTATAGATTTCATAGGCGACTTCATTGGTAATGTGGACCACCCTCGTGCGTTCGCATTGGCAGGCTTCTGCTTCGGGTGAGTCTTCAGCTCCATCCTCAGTTCCCCTCACAGGTGTGGAGTTGGGGAAGCTAATGTCGGAGCCCAACTCATCTGAACTTCCAGCAGCATGCAAAAGCCATGATCTGCAGTGCAGGGAAGGAAATACGCAGGGCTTGAGCTGCAAGCTGTGTTCCATGTATGCAAGCACATCACACTGCAGCACCTGCACTGCGCAGATTGCAAAGTCGCAAGACATCACAGCAGGAGGGGTGGCGTGGGTAGGGTGGTGGGGTGGGGTGGGTGGGTGTGGGGTGTGGTGGGGTGGGGGGTGGGGTGGGGTGGGGTGGGGTGGGGTGGGGTGGGGTGGGGTGGGGTGGGGGTGGTGGGGTGGGGTGGGGTGGGGTGGGGCGGGGCGGGGTGGGGTGGGGTGGGGTGGGTGGGGTGGGGTGGGGTGGGGTGGGGTGGGGTGGGGTGGGGTGGGGTGGGGTGGGGTGGGGTGGGGTGGGGTGGGGGGGGTTGGACTCTTTTTTAAAGCTCAGAAGAAAAGACTCTAGGAACCATCTTTGGACAGCCGCCTTTAAAGCCCGAAATGGAAGGCGTCGAATTAGGGGATTGAAAGAAGGTTCGGCCACGTAAAAGAGCGCAGCTGTCTCACTTGAGCTGAAAATACCAAAAACAATCAAACACAAACCGTTTGCCACTAGAATGTGCCAAGAAAAATCAAGGGAACTCGGGGGTTGACATGTTTTTGCGGGTAAGGCATCAAGCCCAAAAAGGCGCCCGAATTGGGGCTGGCGACATCCTTTTGACGAAGGCACGGAGGAAGTAGAGGACAATACAAGTCTTTGTGCCATATTGTGTCCTTTTAAAACCTGGGAGCATGTCCGAGTCGATTTCTTAGTGGTTCGTTTACCCTTGGACACGCACACACACACACACAACTCCCAACTTAAAGATGGGCCATTGCGTCAAAAATGATGGACTGCCTTTTGAGATTACGGGTACTTTGAGGGTTCAGGAACAGATTAAGCACTGACTTTGGAGTGCACCAGGTTCCTGAAAGCAGAAAGCAAAAACCTGCTTTGTTGCAACGGGTTCCTCAAAGGATGCATCCAAAAACTTCACGGGTCCCAAACGTAGGCCTTGCAAAGTTGCCGACTTTCAGTGGGAAATGTTTATACACCTCTTTGAACTGGCTGGGAACAAGAATTGTCAGGGGGCAAAGGTTTTCTATTCACTTCCTGAGTTTGGGCAGAAACCCAGGGGCGACGGAGGCGCGGAGGCACCGCTGGAGCAAGCGTCTAGCGCAAGTCAAACCCAACGGCCTCCACTCCGACGGGTCTCTCTGACATGGGCAGCTCGTTGGCGGCCAGCTGAGCTTCCATGGCTTGCTGGAACTCCTGAGCTTGCGCCCCTTTCCCAGAAAAGTTGCAAGAGGCCGGGCCTCTTCGTCCAACTCGTGACTTTCGCTGTCGGCAAGGACCTCGAGAGAACGAGTCGAGCAGCGACGTTGCTTGGGCGGAAGCCAAGGCACAAACACAAACTTCGCTTTCGTCCGCTGCTCTCTTTGCGGCCTCACGGGCCTCAGTGATGGCTGCAAAAGTGTCACGAACCGGCAGCCGCGACCTGGGGGCTGAGCCGCGTCACGCCGGGGTGCCACGGCGGCGACGACCAGCAACGCGAGCAGCACAGCGACGAGACCTCGAGAAAATGAGCTGCCTTGAGACGGCGTTGTAGCTGAGCCCGCTGCGTTTCATGGCTCTTGCTAGGTTTTGCGGCGTGTGGAGTTTAGCGCTGGCGCTGAGGCTAGAGCCCAAGCGGCGGGAATTTGTCGCCTGAGACTTTTCGGAACTGTCTCCGATAGGTACGGTCTATGTTGAGGATTCACCTGTTGAGCCGGCCGCCAGGTCGCTATGTGCCGCAGGTGAGTGGAGCGTGGAAAACGCGGGTACCGTCAAGCCCATGTCCAATATCGTTTATATTGCGGGACCAGCTGCCGCTGTCTAGAAATTGCGGTTTCTGGCGTCGCGTGGAGCGCTCAAGGCTTGACTTCCCCGACGCATGGGTGCGGGCTTTGCTGCGGGAAGCGGAAGAGACGTGGCGTCGCGGGCGAAAAAATTGTCGCGAGCACAGATTGGGGCGTGACTGTTCCGCTAAGCTGATCAAACACCTCCAGACCAAACTTCAGTGCGAAGAAGCCCGGGCGGCGCCGCGTTTCTGCGCGCGAGGTCCGAAACCGTTCCAGACCGTTCCGCAATGTTCCGGCACCGCCTAGCATGTTAATCAGGTGTTTTAGCAAATCTCGGGACTGGCACGGTTGAGAAAGGCCAGAGCTCTGTTGCAAGGAAACCACTTGTGTCGCGCAAGCTTCAATGTCCTCTCAAGAAGGTGGTTGGCGCTGCAAGTCTGCAAAGTTGGTCTTTGGGTTCTCAGCAGCCACACAAGCCTTTTCAGAGACGATCAACAAAGAAAGCCTCTTGCCAGAAAGTAGTTGTGTGCAAAGGGATGGACATGTTTCGCCAAGACGAGTTCAAATAACCTTAGTTGAGTCTGCTCCAAACACCTTTCAGCCCTTTCACGGAAAGTCGGTGCCACCTTCCTCCGCCGCGGTCGAGTCATTGGTCGGGATTTTTTGTTCACCCGGGCGGGGGCGCTTCCCTGAACCTCCCCAGCCGCGGAGTAATCGTTGTCACCAGTTCTGTTGAAATTTGGCCGCAGTTGCAAGTTGCTGGCCCGCCGGGCCGGCCACGCGTCTTTGCTTACCGCGCCCGGCAGTGCTTTGGACGCGTTTTTGCTTACTGGCGCTTGGGCAAGCCAGCTGTCACTGATTTTGCCCTGGCCCGGGCCGGCCAGCAGGCAGTGATTTGGACACGTCTTTGCTTACCGGCGGGCTCAAGCAGTGATTTGGACGCCTTTGCTTGCTGGCAACATGTCCAAATCACTGTCTGGACCAGGCTGCCAGTGAGCAAAGGTTAAATCAGTGACCACTGGCAGGACCGGGCGCCAGTGAGCGCAAAGGCGCGCCCAAACCAAGTGCCGAGTTTTTGCCTACCAATAGATCGATCTTCCCTAAACTCAGTGGATCCCAGTTACCCTGTAGTAGGTAACCAACCGTTTGCCTCTTAGCATTTAAAGGTTGGTTCCCTAGGTTGCCTGCTATACAAGGAAATGGAAAATGCTGGGAAATATCTCAAAGCTATCAAAGTCCAAAGTTTGGGAAGTGAGTCTTTTCACGCTTGCAAGTCCCCCGCTCCGTGAGCAACTTCTGGAAAGCATGCGCGCGTAGTAGTGATTGCAAGTGAGCATCTTGCACTGTCGCCCCAAGCAAGGGGCCCCGTGCTTTTTGCTTTGATGAAAGTGGAAGGTCCCCGAGAGTCTACTTCCCACAGCCACGCGGTATCAACAAATCGTGTTGACAGCAGCTCCAACTCAAAAATCGCAACTTTCTAGTACAAGTCTAGTACGCGAAGTACACTTCCAGCTCGAACATCGCAACCTGTACACTTCTGCAGCTCCAGCTCGAAAATTGCAACTGTCTAACACAAATCTAGAATGCGAAGTACGCTTCTGCTGCTCCAGCTGGAAAATTGCAACTTTCCAGTACAAGTCTTGCACGCGAAGTGCACTTCTGCAGCTCCAACTCGAAGATTGCGACTTCGTAGTACAAGTCTAGTCTGCGCAGTGCACTTCTGCAGCTCCGCAACTTTGTAGTAAAGTCTAGTGCGGGAAGTACACTGGCACCACTTGTCCGCTGCCCGCTTCAATCGATTATCACAAACCATCTGAATCTTATCGTTTTTGGTGGGGCCCCCATCGTTTTGTGAGGCTTTCTGCAAATTTATGCCGCAACCCATCCGGCTTTACTAAAGTGATCTACGCATAGTTTGACCGTGACTCATATGCGTTCGCTTCCTTTGTTTCAATTGGCAGCCCTTAATTCGAGGCAAGCAATCCCCTGACGTGGTCAGGACTAACCACCAACCCTAAACTCGCCCCAAACCAGCAGTCGAAACCAGCCCCCACCCTAACCAAAAACCGATCCTGAACCCACCCTGAACCAACCCAAAACCCAACCTAAATCCACACAAAACTAAGCCAACAAAATCCCCTACACCGTCCCTAAATCACCCTCGCAAGCCCTAAGCCCAAGCCAGATCTATTTTAGACAGTCAAACAGTCCGTAAGCCCGCCCTGCGCCATCAAACCCACTCTAAACAATCCCTTCAACCGCCCAAGCCCTAACCACTCACTCAACCAAGCCTAACCCTAAGCCTTAAACCACCTCTAAACAACCCTTAGCCACTGCAAAACCCACCTCACTAAACCCCGTAAACCCACCCTTAACCATCCAACACCAAGCTTAGACGATTCCAAGCAACCCTGGGCCAACCGAAAACCCAACCTACCTACGCTTCGGGTTTGGGTTCGGCGGTTCCGCTGGGGGGGGGGTTCGGGTTCGGGTTCGGGTTCAAGGTCGGCAGGCTCTGGTGGGTTTGGGGGGGGGGGTTCAGGTTTGGGTTTGCCCGTCCTAAGCGCAACCCGTCCGAACGCTTGCAGCTCACACTCGCGCAGAATTCGCGCCGCATCGCGCCTCTTGTTCTCCCGGTTGATCTCTGCAAACTGGCCACGAAGTGCGGCATAGATGGGCACCTGGGCAAGTTGCCAAAGGTAGAGGCAAGACTTGAATGTTGGCTCCGGTTGGTAAACCATTTATGCGTGGTTTCTCCGCTTCCTTCCAGCGGTTTGGGCTGGTGGTTTGGAAGTGGGTGTCCAATCCACACAACCACTGAGGCAGTTTGGTGGAAATGGTTTCAGATCCCAATCCAAACCACCAACTAAGGCTGGCTGACCTGAAATGTTGGTATCTGGAAAAAAAGAAAACAGGGATGATGGTGTACTTTTGTTCGTGACTTTTTGCTGGTTGAAGGGAGAGCAAGCAACAGTAGGAAGCTTGGTGCAGTCTGGCAATGGCAGCCAGGAGAGGCCAGATATGGGCATGGGGTCTAAAATTAAGCTACTAGGGAGTGCGGGTTTAGTCCTTGTTTCCATTTCTGGGGGGTTACCCTATTTTTGACGCACACCCATATCAAAACTACGGATGCCCGCTAACTTCTACATCAGTACTGTTTTGCACCTACCCTAAGGGTTCCTGGTTTTGGGCCCTCAACATGGTTTGTTGTTGAGGGCCCTTGAGGGGTCGGGGTTCTTCATTGGAGGGTCCGGGGGTCTGCATTGGAGGGGTCATGACCAATAGAAAAACTGCACAAAAAGCGATTAGGGGGTTTCCCGCCAGTCGTGGGTTGTCAAACAAGTCGATGGTAAGCGCAAGTCCCGTCTGCAGTCGACCCGAATTCCACAAGGCAGTCATAGTTGCCTTGCAACTTGTCTTGATGAACTGGCATCCTGACATCGTCCAGAACCAGACCATCATTTGCTGTTGTCTCCTGAAGCTGTGCACTCCGGGAAGAACTCCAGCGTGCGATCTTGAGTTCGAGCGGGTGCTTGACCAGGCGTTTGGCTCGCTCTGTCTTCCCAGACCAGGATTGAAAACATACCACACACACCCTTCACAGCCAAAGTAGGTCCTGCCTACTACTTTGCCTTCTGAAAGGGAATTTAGCTTTTTCAGCCACACTGGTTTTTGGTGAGTGACCCCCATTTGCCTAAGTCCCTTGGCAGCCCGAGGGACTATTTTGAGGGGTCCGAGCACCAGAGAATCGGGGGATGGCTTGCAAGAATGCAACGTCAAGTTGGGGGTTGCTCAAAATAGGAATTGGAGCCCTCGGATGTTTGCCTTTCAGGGAAACTGAGAGGAAACACCTTCCTGCGAAACTCCCCAACCCTGAAACGCACAGGGTCCACGCATGAAACCCTGGCAGGCTCCAGTGGTCCAAACAAACCCTTGGGCGGCCGGTGGCCGCGCATATTTGCAGACATATAGAGACACATGCAACTTATTTCTGGATTTTGCATATTGTCAATAGATATCCGCACAAAACATCCCCACCCCCCCACACCCCCCACAACCCCCCACCGCCCCATACCCCCCCACCCCCCCACCCCCCCCCACCCCCCACCCCCCACCCCCCACCCCAACATTGCCCCCCTCCCGCTCGCGCACCTGCACCCCCCTCCCTCCTATTGCCTTCCATTTGCTTAAGCCCCTGGAAAAAAAAATTAACATGTTCCCTTTGAAGAAACACTGGGGTCTTCTAGTTTTGGTAGGGAACCCTCCCCAAAAAAAAGTTGAGAAAGGGCGCTACTGGGCGAAAATCGACCAGATTCCTTTCAGCGAATCTTGGTTGACGTTGGAAGGGTAGCAAACATTCTCAATCTTTAGCAGTTCAGTGGTTGGATTTGAACCACTAAACCACAATAAGCAAACTTGTAAAACTGTTTCCCAACAACAACCATGTGTCTCCAATTGATTGTGGCCTAGATCTGGGGTACATGCATAAAAGTATCTGCCATTCCATATCTTAAGATATGTGGAGGCGACCCCCGAAAAGCTGCAAGTTTGTTTTGGGCTCCAACAACAACACAACAACCATGATAAGCCCGGGTGGGTATTCCAACAGCCCCCTGGTACCCTCCCGATTCCAAGCAGATGCACGACTTTGGGGGGCAAAAAACCTAACCCAACAACACAACTTCCATGTGTTTTTTTGGTTGCATCCTCCAGAACCCATACCTGAACATTGGCAGAAAAATGAAGCCCGCCAGATCCCCTGCAAAAAGTTGAAAACTTCTAGTGGGTTCAACTTGGAACCCCCATCACTAAACCAACAATCCTTCACATTGGTTTTCTGGAAAGGGAAACTAAGGGAAACCCACACAAACAAACAGCACCACAACCATTGCACCTGCACAGGAACCGGTTCCTACCTCCGACCATTTTCCTAAAGGGACCCATTTTTTAGGGAAACCCATGGAATGGAAGTTACCCCCCCGCGCAACCGAACCCGCCGACGCGGCGCCTTCCGCGCAAACCCCGCGCTGAGCAGGGCCTTGCTGCCCGGCTGCACCTCTGCACTCGGCAGGCCCGGCACCTCCAAGTGCGATGTGCTTGCTAACATGCCCCAGTTTGTTTTTTTGTTCATATATGTACATGTGTTTGTTATTTCTTTCCAATTGATTTGCTTTTTCTTTTCAGGGCCCCAGGAAAGGTTTTTAAAACCAAACGTACGTGAGTTGTTCCTTCTTGTTTTCTTTCTTGGCTTTTTGTTGGGGGGGGGGTATTTAATCAAAACTTGTGTGCGTGTGCTTTTTTGTGGGGGGTCCTCTATTTTGACACATACCCGTGAGAGCCACGGGCAAAGTTATGAACGTTTCCACAAGACATAGACATGTTGCGGGCTCGTCCCGCTTGTCCCCTAGATCTTGCGGGCAATTGGATGATTTCGGTCGTGTGCCTCCCGAATTGCGCATAGACTGCTACTGGTAATTTTGACCGAACCTCATATGGGCGTAGGAGTTTCTCTTTTCAACTGGTCGCCAGCTTTTGTGTTGTTCCACTGGCCTTGGATTTGATCCTCAGGGCGGTTTTCTGCTTCTGGGAAGGCGATTGGAGGCCCAGACGGTGCTTTTTGTATGAGGTCAACGGTTGCTACCGTCTTAGATGATGATTTTGCTCGAATGATGCGAGCAAAGAATGCAAATCCTAGGTTTAAGCTGAAATGTTGACCCAGCTGAGGAAAGCTGGCTAGGAGTCAGCTTCCATTAAGCAGAAGCGCAAAGGTTTAGCAAGGGAAAAAGACGTCACCCTGGCAAAAATGTCGATTGGATTAGTTATCCCTTCCAACTTGCGAATCAGTCTAGCTTGTAAGATGGGTCAACCGAAACAAACCAGTCAAGAAAGTGGACGAGAGTTGAAAGACTACCATCTGGAAAAGGCCCCTGTTGCGCTTCCATGATTGTTGCGCAGGGATCCTTACATTATACACCTGAACGTTGCCTTGTAAATGGTGGTTTCCAACTTTATTTTGGTGGAAAAAGCCATGTTTCAAATGGGCAAAATGTATCTTTTAAGGAGCCCTGTTACTGCAAAAGGGCAAACCTTGTTGCGTTTGGGCAGGATTTGGCATACCTCGCAAACGCAACTTGCTCGCTCTTGGGAGGCAGCCACACGCTTCTCCAATAACTGGCTTGATGTTGGAAGGGGAGCCAAACTTCAAATTTAGCAGTTTAGTGGTTGGACTTCAACCACTCAACCACAATAAGCATTTGTTTAAAACAAAATACTGTTTCCCAACAACAAGCATGATAAGGTTGCAAGAACACTCCTGGTGTTCGTTAGGCTCGGCTCCGCATGCGAGTTCCGCTGCACAAACTAAGCAATCGATTCATCCGGCAAGCAATCGCCAAGCTTGCGAACAACTGCAGGAGCTTTGGAAGGGACAGCTCGTCTGTGTCCACCCAGAATCCACTGTGTCACATGTTACTTGCCCCCGGAAGGACAACCTTTCAGCAAAATTCAGCCGGATATGAATCCACCTGCTATGAATCTTGGAACCTTCCAACCCTTTTCTCCCTCCGATTCGGCCCGATACTTAGGGTGCGGTCGAGCTCCATCCCCTTGGAATCTTGGAACGTTTGAAGGTGGGGGGAATGATGAACACTGAAGGAGTCAAACATTTGCAACCACCTTCTTTCGCTTCTTTCAAGGCGTTTTTTGAAAGGGTTCTTGGATGCAACATGGGGTGCGTTTCTCTCAGTGGTGCATTCCCACTACCAGGGAAACCTCCCCCCAACCCGAAAACAATAATCATCAACCAAACGTTTAACAAATCCGGGGTCCCATGCTCACTTCCTAAGTGGATTGGCAAAAGAACGTCCCGCAATGTTTTGTATATACCACTAAAATAGTCCAGACCCAAAAAGTCACTGAAGTCCAAGAACTCAGAAAATGAGATAGGGTGTTGCTCTAGGTCCTCCAGTAGAGAGGTTAGACTAAGGGTACCAACCTGTTTCTGTAGTCTATTTTAGTAGGGGAACCGAATCTCCCAACCCAAAAAGTTGCTCAAAGTTGGCACTACTAAAGGACCTAGTCTTGAAATAGAGGGATCCACACAAATTGGTGGTTTTTCCTTTGGTTTCCCCCCCAGAACCACCCGGACTCGCGCCGTAAGCGATATCCATTTCTCCGACTCCATCGGCGCCTCGCCGAAGCGGCGCCGCAGCTGCGGGATGCTGGCATCCTCGAAGGGCTCGCCCTGGCGAACGGCGAAGAGCTCTGGCAGGATGGGGTCGTTTATTTATTTCTTTGGTGGTACCAACTTATTCTAACCTCTCCACTGGTCGTCTGTTAACTTTGCTGCACTCAGATCCCCTGCTAAAAGCTTTTAACTTTTAGTGGGTTGAATGGAAACCCCCACTAAACACTAAAGGGCTAAACGGCTAAGGGGATGGCTGGGAGCAACCAAGTTAAGGTTGCCTATTCTTGGTTGACGTTGGAAGGGGAGCAACAATTCTCGAATTTTAGCAGTGCAGTGGTTGGATTTCAATCAGTGAACCACAATGAGCGAAAATGTAAAATGTTTTCCAACAAAAGCCATGTATTAAGGCTGGACTTTTGGATTTCCAAATGGCTTAACCGGGCAAACCATTTGAGAAAAGCCGTCGCGTGGAACAAATTGGAGGGGTCGTCTATTAAGGTTGCCCTGTTGGATTTCCACATGGCTTATCCGGGCGAACCATGTAAGGAAAGCCGTCGCGTGGAACAAATTGGAGGTGTCGTCTATTAAGGTTGGACTGTTGGATTTCCAAATTTGGCTTATCCGGGAAAACCATTTAAGGAAAGCCGTGGCGCGGAACAAATTGGAGGTCGTCTATTAAGGTTGCCCTGTTGGATTTCCACATGGCTTATCCGGGCGAACCATGTAAGGAAAGCCGTCGCGTGGAACAAATTGGTTGGGTCGTCTATTAAGGTTGGACTGTTGGATTTCCACATGGCTTATCCGGGCAACCTTTTACGGAAAGACGTCGCGTGGAACAAATTGGAGGTGTCGTCTTTTAAGGTTGGACTGTTGAATTTCCACATGGCTTATCCGGGCGGACCACTTAAGGAAAGCCGTCGCGTGGAACAAATTGGAGGGGTCGTCTATTAAGGTTGGACTGTGGCATTTCCAAATGGCTTCTCCGGACAAACCATTTAGGGAAGAGAGGCCACATCATTGGTTTCCGTCAAGGAAAAGCGGGATTGACACTCCTAATAAGTTGTTTTGTTGTTTTGCGAATCCAACAAGTTGGACCCACTAAAATGATGGTCTTTTTGGGTGTCCCTTACCAAAACGTCTTTTGGACCCTCAGAAAACGGTTGGTCAGATCAGTACCCAAACTAAAAGGGGTCATGACCCCATGCTTAAAGAGTCATGGAGACTCCGGTATCCCACAAAAAAAGATGAGCCACCCAAGTAGACACGAACACGCTCGCAGGAAGAGTTTCGCACCAATGCCGAATCAGGGCTCTCAAGAAAACACAAGGCCCTCCAGAAAACACAAGGATAACCTTACTCCTTGGACCATGAACCAACTCTCGCCTATTGGTGCATAAAGGACCCTTCTGCTTCTGTACCAATTTGACCGTATGGCTTGGTCCTGGTTTTGGCTTATTTGTTGCAGCCCCGTAGCAAACATGAACAAACAAAACCCAATATATATATATATATATATTGATATTGCTATACTAGGTTCTCCAGTAGAGAGGTTAGAATAAGGGTACCCTTTTTTCTGTAGTCTATTTTAGTAGGGGAACCCTCCCAACCAAAAAAGGGTGAGAGAGGGCACTACTGGGGGACCTAGTATACAAATATATAAAACATGCCAAAAAGAGTGACTGAGATTGGTCACTTGTTCTGCGATTCGGGGCACCTGCGTGTTCCAAGTGTGGCATCCGAGCACTGCGCCCGCTAACGCGCAGCGAGCGCCTCACGCGTCGCGGGTTCCTCGCCTCCGACTTGGACAGTCGACCCAGGACAGGCGGCGACCGAGGAGTTGGAAGGATGGTACCTGGCAGGGAAGCAGCGCAGGCGGCTCTCAAGCCTCCTAACATCTCTGGGTGAATTATAATATTTCACTAACCTGAAACAAGGTGGTTGGGGGGCTATTCCCTATTTGGGGTGAGGTCGTGTGAGGTCGTTATCATTCACTCAGAAATCTCAAAGTGTCCCTCAATTGCCCAGCTCGGACCAAAATAAAAGGTGATCACTTTTTGTGGCCACTGAGAATTGACCAAGGGGAAGTTAAAAGGTCGATTCGCTTTGGGCTAGTGAGTTCTTAAAAGGGGCTCTGCGTAATTCCACCGCAAAAGGACACCCAATTTGGTGGGCGCCCCTAATAAGAGAGGCGCATCGAGCTTTTGGCGTGTCTTTGCGGGCCCAATTTGAGCCCAATAGGTCCAATAAGCTTTTAGCGTGCGCTTCTTGGGCTTACTTGCGTTGTTGTGGCCTGTTTCTTTTGGCAATGAGTGCAAATGGCTGTGGCTCAAAGAACCGGTACCAAAATGGAACCCTGGTAAGTGGAAACATGGACCAAAACCCACGTAACCCCTCCTGTTTAATTTTGAGCCACAGCCAAATGGGTTCAGCAACAAGGCCGTGGGTACTGCAACCTGGGTTGGACAAGATATTCGACGAGTTCGGCCTGATCATTGGCACATGCTATGGTGTGGAACGATTCTCGTTTTTCCAGTCCAGTTGCGGAAACGAGAAGAGTTCTTACACATCCCCTAGTGGCTATGGGCGACAAGATGACGACCTCATGATGGCTTCAAACCTTGCCCAGACTTGCACAAAGTTGCCGCTTCATGCTCCCCGCATCACCATGAACCACGAGGATTAATCGCTGGGTGCGCAACTCCCCAAGTGAGTCAAAATCAAAACCCGGTATAAAAATGGTTGAGCCAGAACCATGCTTCAAGAATTAAGAAGGCGGATGTGTGCAGCTATTTCTTACTAACCTTCATCTACCCAGGTTTTGAGCCAGTGGCTCAAGTGCGATTCACTTGCAGCCCTTCAGGAGAGCCAATCAAAAACCAAGCGGCTGTCAGAGACCATTTCCTACTGAACTGGGTGGAATGTAGGCAGAGAAAATGGCAAAATGTCTTCCCTGGGAAGGCGGACACGGAACGAAGCCAAGGACGGGCGACCTGGACTGCGCGAATTGGCACTACCCGTGGTTGCTACGGGGAGGCCTCGAGTCGAGTTTTTTGCTGGCTGAAAATGCAAAAGTAAGAATTGTCAGCTCAGTCTGGCAATGACTTGGTTGACGTTGCCAGGGGAGCAAAAAAAAACAGCTAAGTGAGGATTTCGAACCCAACCACAATAAGCAAACATGTCAAATGTTTCCCAACAACAACCATGATGAAATGCACTTCCTTGTTGCTTCTTGTTTGTGGTGCCAGCCCGTCGTGGTTCTTCCCAAGATGTGGCCAGGATCAGCCATGTCAAGTCTTGGGTGGGTTTTTTCTTTGTCTGCGTAAATAAGACACGCGAAATGATTGTTTCTTGGCAGTTCTTTGATCCCTAGCGTGATATGTCCTAAATCTAAAAGTCTACGCGGCGTGGCTATTTTTCCAAGTGCAAACACTATAATTTGCTCGTGTTGCAGTGCTCGCTTTCAAGTGAGCGGATTCGCCAAAACGAGTCCGAGCCTTTCATTTACCTGTTAGAAGGGTCTTCCAAAAAGTATAAAGTCCATGAACCCAAGAAGTGAGACAGCCAAGTGGCCAAGTGAGGCCAAGTGAATCGCGCGCACCGTCCAACTCCGCGGACAGGTGTGAGACTTTGCTCATGAGATCGGCCACCTGCGGCCCGGCTGGCATGGGGATGGTTTGGGCTCATTCCACGTCTCATTCTCTGGCGCGCAAAACCTGCATGAACTCAGGTTCCAGTTTGGTGGTTTGGAGCCCAAGTTAGAATGTGAAACGAACAAACAGCTCCTTTTGAAACCAATTGGGGAAGGGGAGCCACCAAACCAAACCACCAATGAGGCAAGCTGATTTAAGAGGCGATCATTGGCGATCATGGTTTGTCATTTGGGGGAGTCGTGTCCACCGCTTAGGAGCTTTCCCCATTGGAATTCACAGCCGTGCGGAGAATTCCATTCAAACGGTGGAGGTAACTGGGTTGACGTTGCAAGGGGGAGGGGTGACTCTCGGCCAAGGAAAACAACGCGAGGAATCTCCGTGAGGCCAAAGCACACCCAAGTCTGCGAGGTGTGTGCCAAAGCCAGGGGGTCTCCAAAATGGTGTTTCTGGGCTGTCCGTTTTCAGATCCCCTGTAGGGGGACGGCTGGGAAGCCCCAAGTTTTGCTTTTTTTTTGTCTTTTTCCGTGGGGTCAGAGGACGCTTGGAATGACCAGCCGTCTGTAGCACGGGAAGTTGAAAAACCGCGAGATGTCAGGCCGCATGTCCCCCCAAAAGGCAACAATGTCCTGTGAGCATCGTCTAGACACGCCAAAAGGGACACAAGTACGACCCAAAATGCTTGGACTTCAACATTTATGGTTCTCTTTGGGACCCCAAAATAGCGTTCCTCTTAGTTTCCACCAACAAAAACAGATACCCTCAAACAGAGACACACGAGGGAAGTCTCCCATGATTCAACGTTCCGGCTTCCAGGAAAATCAAAGCGATCCAAACTTGTTTCCAAGACCCATATTGGCCATGAGTCAAAATCCCGTACCCCCAGTGAACATCCCAATCCCCACTAAAATAGGTACTAAAATGGGTGGTGCACCTACCACAGCCATATTGGCACCCGTAGGCCCCGGCCCCTTTCATCAGTCCGTCCTCTTGTGTATGGCGTGGTTGACGTTGCAAAGGGAGCAAACGTTCTCAATTTTTAGCAGTTAAGTGGTTGGATGTCCCACTAAACCACAATAAGCCAACATGTAAAATGTGTCCAAACAACAACCTTGTATGGCTCTTGCTGCAACAAGTTGAACTTTTCAGAGGAACACGCTTGCTTTCACGCAAAAGGTCAAAGATCCAACCAACTAGCAGCCAATTCTTGACTTCCCAATCTCGAACCCGGCCCGCATCCGTTAAACTCATGCGCAACGTCACCAACTCACTCTGACAATTTGATTGGCTGACCGCGTTGAACGTACCACAACAAGCTTATCATTTGGTTCGAGCAGTCTATTTGGTTTGATCGTTGGACGAATGCACCAATTGATTCAATTGGCCAGCTGAGTTGACTGGTCAGACTGTGTATATCTTGCGTTGGCATGAAACACAAATGAAGAACCCTCGTGAGACAAACAACTGTTCGCTAACTCAACTCGTAAGGTGCGCCAAACAAGACCTGCCAGGAAATGATCTATGGCATCCTTGCAACGCTCACGGTTCACACGCGCGGCATGCGCCTTGTCGACCAAGATGCTTTCCTCGCAGTTGATGTACGGCTTCCTCAGAGATGATGGTAGAGCTCCCATGGGACGCGGAGCACAAATTGAATCCAAGCAGCTTGCAAGGGCTGCAACATGTCAGGAAATACATTGGTTGCTGTTGACCCCTTTGCAGAAAGTGAAACTGTTTGTGGGAAAAAAAAGTCTAAAGATCCAACCCAATAGCAACCAAGGAACGAAGTCACACGCAAGAAGCAAGTGTGGACGTGTGCTGACATGCGAGTGCTTGGGTCTTCACACTTTGTTCTAGCATGAAACAACATTCACACAATCTCTGAAACATAGAGGGAGTAAATGTAAAACTGGGCTACGCCCCACGGTCTTCTGCCAAACCTACGCTCTTGCTGATTGAATGGAACATCAAGGAAACCCTAAAAGGCAAACAGTTGAAACGGTACTAGAATAGCCACGAATAGCCTGTGCAAACAGAATGTGGGTGTGTCTGCTTTGAGGGTACCATTTTTTGTGCTCTTAAATGGAAACCAAAAGGAAACCAGCTAAGCTATGTTTGGGCGTTCCTAAACAAAGACAAACCCGAATGTAATGATTTCGCCCCTAGGTAAGCAACGGCCAGCTCCGCACCGGACCTTGGTCATGTCATTTGTTGGGGTCCCTATCGCCCTGCCTGGCCCAACCCTTGTTGGCTGGTCGCAAGGGAAACTGGGGTCCCGCTGCGTTAGACAGGTGTCCTTTAAAGACCCCGTTGATTGTCAATTAGCTGTGGGGCAAAAATAGGTATTCAACATGGAATGCTTGTAACTGTAAATATATGGACCAAAACCTGCGGTCCCCTCTGGTGGTTTAATTTTGACCCATAACCTAATGGGTCTTGTTACAAGTCTTTCGCCATTCTGAAAATCTGCGCGGCATCGGTCCAAAGGAACGTGAGCCGACCAGCTTTGGTTCCTGAAGGTGAAGGTGAGCAGTGGCTGGACATCAACCCCAGAATTCCGAGGTCCAAGGGCCCCGAATGATTTTTTTTCACACAAAAAAAACTGCTGGATCCCCCTTTTAGATGGTAAATAGGGATCCGGATGCATGAAAAACACCTGAACATTGCAACTTGTACATGGTGGTTTCGAACTTTATTTTGGTGTTGAAAAAGCAACATGTTTCAATTGGGCAAAAAGTATCTTTTAAGGAGCCCTGGTGAGTAATGCAGGCATCTCCGATGCCCCACAATTATAGACGGTTGAGTGAACGCCAATCTATTGGCTCTCTTCTTGGGCAATCAGCCTGTGCTGCCCTGTCGAGCGCTAGCTTTGGGCCGAATCCATGTATGGATCACTGCACCAAGGGGAATACATCCCACCCAACCTACCATTTCTTTGACGTTGGAAGGGGAGCAACAATTTTCAAACTTCGGCAGTTCAGTGGGGATTTCCCACTAAACCACAATAAGCAAACATGTAAAAACGGTTTCCCAACAACAACCATGATTTAAGGGGATGGTCATCTGAGCTTTGAGCCTGCCAAAAGGGAGCCTTGGACTCAGATTCGGGTGACAAGAGTGCTAAGATGCCCGAAAGGCCAAAAGGCCACGTCGTTAGACGCAAGGCGAGCAACCGACAAAGGGTTCCTTAAGGTTCCTTAGGCTTTTGGGTTCAAAGGTTTTGTTGTTTCCCTCGGGAGCCCGAGCAAGGGGTTTCTCTGCAGAATCTATTGGGTCCAGGGGCTGAAAGAAATCGATGAGTCTTCCATAACCCTTTGCTGAGGATTTAGGCGCTGTGTAGTGCAGTTGCTATGAACTCCTTCAACTTGGAGGAATGACTTCTCTGATTCCATCAAATCAGAATTGGATTCATGACCTACTTCAATGCTTTTCCAATCCATTTTACCCCCGGGAAAAAAAGGTGACCGCGCCACATGCCAACAGGCGTCCGACGTTGCTTGGGGCCCGGCTGAAACCGGCAACGCTTGCGCGCGCGTTTCAGCGCGTG